GCTGCTACTTCTTCTTTGAGTAACTGGGCCCTGTCGTTGGTCTGGCGGCGATGTGGCCGCCGTCGCCGCCTCGTCACCGCCCGTCGTCTGGGCCGTGTCCTCGGTCTGGCGGCGATGTGGCCGCCGTCGCCGCCTCGTCACCGCCCGTCGTCTGGGCGTGCCTGCGGGTCTGCCGGCTGTGTTGTCGCCGTCGCCGCCCGACGCAGAGTGCACATCATATAATGCAGAACGTATATTGCACTACGTAGATCTTCTTTCCTGAACATGTGTGAGGATCTACCCCCCCTGGTATTCAATCGCGCCCCCCCCTTCGCGTTGCAATTTGCACATGAGCCTGCCCCATCGTCCATCCTATAGATGAACTCGTACCATGACAGCGAGTCGGGTATCGACCCCCCCCCCGCATCCTCAGCAAAACATACGGTGCGCGCGCAACCGTTCATTAACAGTCATCAGTTTCCAAGGATGCGCCGCAACAAACGGGACGAAGTGCGCACGCGCGCTTCGTCGCGTTTGCAGGCCGACATATTTTACAACACTTTGGGTGTCGTAAAGATTTCAAAGTTTAGCGTACGAATCATATCACAAACACATGGTTCCGCAACGTGGGTATTCAAAACATTGGCGCTCGCGCTCTTGCATATTTAACATTGTCATAAACTGCTACCAAGCGGGCCTCTCGAGCGCGCATGTCCAAATCGTCGAACGCCCTTGCGTGCGTGCTGTCGGAAGTATCATTTGCAACAGAAGGGGCGCAGTGCGCACGCGCGCGTCGTCGCGCGCGCATTCCGATACAAACGCATTCAAAAACAGTGGGTTGCGTAAGGTTTGCAAAATCGAGTGTCCCGAACATATAAACATGGCTTTGCTCCATCACTTTTCAAACTGAGAAAAACCTGTCTGCGCGCTCTTGCGAATTCCCAAGAGACCATCGGTTTTCAGCACTGTCATCCAATTCTGCCAGTCGGGCCTCTCGCGCCGCATGCTGAATTCATCCGAACGCCCTTGCGCGCGTGCTGGGGGATGGGCACGATCCGTGTCAAATAAGACCACGTGGGCCACTCGCGAGCGTCGGCCGCGCGCGCATGTCGAACTCCTTCATCGTTATCGTCATCGTTATCGGGGGCCGTGATCAACATCGGCGGCATCATCGGCCTTGCCGTCGTCATCGCCGCCATCGTCACCATCATCGCTATCCTCATCGTCGCGTCTAGAATTATTGGCGTCGCCACGATGCCGCGCCCCCCCGAATCACGGGTTCGCACAGAAGTGACCGCTGGGACATGCCGAGCGGTCAGCGCTACCGCGGCCGCGTCGGTCGCGCCGCACGAGCTGGCCGCTGCGCGCGCGAGCATGGCCGGGCTAGCGCGGCCGCAGAGATGCACCACCCAACGCCAAGCACTCATTGCAATAGCCGTTTAATGAGCTTTGCAGACCCATTTGCGGGTGGGTGGGTGGGATGATTGCGCGAGCCGTGGGGTTGACATCTCATTGCGGGCATTGGCGGGTTCCGATTTCTTAAAAGAGGATAGGCTCCACCCCCCAGGATTATCACTTCCCTTTTTCGTAACACAACGTACCTATGATTCTGCCGCATCGTCCATCCTGAATCTGAAGCCGTACCATCCCAGGGCAACCGACATCGCCAACCCCCGGCATCCGGTGCAAAACAAACTGCGCGCGCACTCGCTGACCACAAATCATGGATTGCCAACAGCCCCTTGCAAAAAAATGAGACGAAGTGTGCACGCGCGCGTCTTCGCGCGCGCATGCCGAAATCCTTAAAACATTCTCGCTTTCGTAAGGATTTCAAATCGGTGCCCAAAACATATAGAAACACACGCATGTTCGCAACACCGGCTTTCAAAACAAAAACTTGCGCGCGCGCTCTTGCGATCTTTCAGAAGCCATTGGTTTTTCAATATTATCATCAAGTGTTACCAGACGGGTTTCGCGCGCGCATGTCGAGATCGTTCGACCGCCCTTGCGCGCGTGCTGTCGCGAGAATATTTTGCAAGGATTGGGGCGAAGTTCACGCGCGCGCTTCGTCGCGCGCGCATTCTCAAATCTTGTAAGAACCTGCGGTTTCGCAGCAATTGCAAAACCGACTGTCCAAAACATAGAAATTACAGGGTTTCGCGACATCAGGCTTCAAAAGAACATGCGCTCGCGCTCTTGCCAGCTCTTAAGAAAACAATCGGTTTTTTTTCAACATTTTTACGGATTTCTGCCGAACGGGCCTCTGTCGCCGCACGCCGACATGATTCGCACGCCCTTGCGCGGGCGATGGGGGGCACGGTCCGTGTCAAAGAGTACCGCGCGGGTCACTCTCGCGCGACGGCCGCGCGCGCATGTCGAACCCTTTCCGAAACCTTCATCACCGACGCGAGGGCGCCGTCATCGTCGCCGGCGTGATCAGCATCGGCGCCCGCAGTGGCCGCGCCGTCGTCGTTGCCAACATCGCGACCAGCATCGCTGCTACTATCATCGTGTCTACCGTTTCCGACGTCGCCATGATACCGCGCCCGCCCAAGTCGCCAGCCCGCACTGAAGTGCCCGCTGGGATGTGCCCAGCGGTCAGAGCCACCGCGGCCGCGTCGGTCGCGCCAAACTAATTGGCCGCTGCGCGCGCGAGCTTGGGTCGGCGAGGCCGCAGACACGGTCCAGCCAAAGTCAAGTTCACCGCAATCGCCACCGCATGGGTTTTGCAAACCAGGTTACGGGTGGGTGGGTGGGATGATTGCGCGAGCAGTGGAGGTGGTCAAACAAAGTGCAGGGTAGTCAATTGCACACGTCGGTTTTCCCCCCCAAAAAAAAGCGAAATAGGTTTTGCTCCCATCCCCCCCCCGGACTTATCCACCCCGGGGGAACCGATGCAAAACGCATATGATTCTGACCCAATGTCCATCTTACCTGAAAGTTCATACTATCCCAACCAGGCCGGCATCAACCCTTCCCCCGCCATCCTTTGCAACAAATGCAATGCGCGCGCACTCGTTGATCACAAATCATGGGTTCCCAAGACCCTTTGCAAAACATATGACGAAGAGCGCACGCGCGCGTCGTCGCGCGCATGCTTATTTTTGTATATATATATATATATGTAAATATACATATATAAACCTTGGTTTTCGAAAGATGTCAAGATCGAATGCCCAAAAGATAATACACAAACACGTGGTTCACAACACGGGGTTCCAACAACAACGTGCGCGTTGTTGCGAGTTCTTAACAAAACCACGCGTGTTTTTTTGGAAACACATGAAAAAATTCTGCCAAGAGGGCTTCGCGCGAGCATGTCGGACTCGTTCGAACACCCTTGCACCCGTGCTGGGGTCGCACGATCCGTGTCAATTAACACCATGCAAGCCAGTTTCTCGCGCCTGCCGCGCGCCCTTTTTTTTCTTATTAAAATCTGCATCGCCGACGCGAAGACGCCGTCATCGTCGTCGGCGTGATCGGCATCGGCGCCGTCATCGCCGCTATCCGTATCATCGTGTCTACAAGTGTCGTCACCAACATCGCCACTATCATCGCCATCGTGTCTACAATTTTCGACGTTGCCATGATACCGCGCCCGCCCAAGCCGCCGACTCGCACTCAAGTGCCCGCTGAGATGTGCCGAGCGGTTCGCACCACCGCGGCCCCGTCGGTCGCGCCAAACTGCCTGGCCGCTGCGCGCGCGCATGCGCGGGCTGGCGCGGCCGCAGAGATGCACCAGCCAGCATGAAACACTCATCGCAATCGCCGCCGCATGAGGTTTGCAAAGTAAGTCGCGGGTGGCTGGGTGGGATGTGTGCGCGGGCAGCGGAGTGGACAACGCACTGCGAACAAACATTCGTTGTATCACGTATAATATTGTACCTCGGAGGTGGCACCACTTGGATTGCACCACGCAAGTGGCGCAGCACATATTGTACAACCTAGATCGCACAACGCGTATAGCACGACAAAGCGAACGCCACGTAGATTGCACAACGCACTTGGCATTGCCTATATTGCACACGGTACGTCGCACCACAGAGGTCTTACCACATACTTTGCACAGCATCGATTGCACCGCATGTTTTGCACCACGCACGTGAATATGTATATATATATATATATACATATTCACATGTATATGTATAACAATGTGTGTGTGTGTGTTGCACAGCAGACGTGCCAGGTTCCACTTCTCATGTTGCACTACCCAACTTGTACCACGTATAGTGTACAGTTTAGATTGCTCCACGTAGGTTGCACACCACATGCGTTTAGGATCCTGTTGTTTGGGGTCCACGCTGGCTAGTATGTTCATACTGATGTGCGCGGCGCTGAGGCGAGATCCACAGTTTCAAACTCATCCGTCCTCCATCCTTGAAGCTGTTGCAAACGTTACAAATAATGTGCGCGGCACTTGGGCGAACGCAGCATTTTGAAAACCACCCGCTCTCCATCTTTCAAGCTGCTGCAGAATTCAATTATCAGCGGCACACGTGGTGAGGATGTCACAAGCCGAAGGCCTGTGCCGCATTACCGACACGTTTGGGGGTGCGACGGGGAGATGTTACCAGTAAAGAATCAGGGTTGGATGAGAAGGAGGAGGAGGAGGAGGAGACGACAAGGTGAAAACGGGGGAGGGGGCGGGCGAGAGGGAGCATGCAGGAGACGTGGACGGGTGGGCGTGCAAAGAGGGTGCGAGCAAGCTCGAGTCCGATCCGAAAAGAGAACGCGCTTTTCACGACAATCCTCGGAGGGAGAGGCCGAACGACAGTGCCGCTTTCACGGCTCCAAGGTCGAGCGAAACCTCGGCCCTTTCACTGCCTCCACAGCCTATTGGGCGGTTGTCTGGCGAGTTCAACGGGGAGTGCTCATCACCCCCCTGTGCATCCATTGGTGATGCTCCGCATGCCTCCCTCATGCCCTCCTGCCCGGGGACCACGCGACCACGGCAGGTGGTAATTTCGCACCCGATGGCGCACCACACATGCGAGGCCTTTTTTTCCGAGCGACCGTCGATGCTGCACCCGCAGATTCTCGCCCCCCCGCCCGCGTGCCTCCGCCCGGCGCTGCGCGGGATGTCGAGGGCTGCTTGGCGCGCAGATAGCCGATGGAGTTCGCTCGTCCCAGCGAAGTGGGAAGGCAACCCGTCCTGGCCAGGCGAATGACGGTAGCACGCATACTCGGACTAAGGCCCAGCCGGGGAGTGTTGTGGGCGGGGGGCGCGGGGTCGCGCGGGAGCGACCCGGAGGAGGAGGAGTAGTAGGAGGAGGAGGAGGAGGAGGAGGAGCGACCCTCCTGTTTTCTCCCATGGGCGGGGGCGCCCAGCACGGTCCGCGGGGTCGCCGCTCCTTGTCGGGGGGCGGTGACACCACGGGCCGTTGGCCATCCTCTTCCCGCCAAGGGGCGGCGCCATTCAGTCAAGGCAAGCCGCGTTGGCTGGCAGGAGAGACTCGGGGGTGGACAGAACCCCAACAGTGACACGTCGATTAGTGAATTCTCTGTTTTCGGTTCTCGAGATGGCGCCGTGGCCGTTATTTTCCAGGCTTGCGCCCGCCAAGTTTGGGCCTCAGGTCGTTTTCACTAAACCACGTTTTACTAAAGGGGGGTTTGTCCATCCCCGAGAGACTGTGCTGGAGTGCCTCCTCTCTTGAGTCTCAGTGCGAAGATCGGTGCTGATCCCGCCGCCGTCTCGGTCTCGTGCCGTCTGGGGTCCGCAGATGTTAAGATGTCTTCCGGCCCCAGGTATGTGATGAGTGGCCGGTGTTTGCGGCCATCTTTGCGCATCAGGGGCCTGGCACAAAGCAGCAGCCTCGGACCGCCCGTCTCGCCGTTTCCTTGTATGTGCATCCCCCTCTTTCGCAATGCATGTGCTGTTCTTGTACTGTCTGCGCTTTCTGCTTGTAATGCGACAGGCAAACAAAAATGTGCCCGCAACCTTGGCGCCCGAGCGAATATTTTCGCTGCGTCGGTTCCTGCTTTGTTTGGCGTGTTGAGTGCGGACCTGTCACCTGACCAACCAGCGGTTGAACCAGATGCGACATCCAGAGTCTGCCCCCCCCCCCCCTGTCCCCGCGTCCGTGCGCTCGTCGAGGCACGGCGTTCCGAATGGCCCCTTGGGCGGGCTGCGACGGGAGGACCTGGCCGTGTGGAACACCTTGGTGGACTGGAGCGGCAAGGAGCTCGAGTACGAGCCCGGCTACCCAGAGGGCCAGGACGGCGGCCGAGCCGCCTCCACGCCCCCCTGCTCGTTCCCTCCCTTTCGCCCCGTTGTCCGCAAGCACGCGAGCCGACAGTTGGAGCTGTCCGCCCCAAGGAAAACCCTCCGCGACCGCCAGCAGGCCCAGAAGCCGCCCCGAAAGGCCCAGATCAGTCCACGTCCCAAAGCCGTGCCCAAGAGGCTTCGGAGAAGCCCCCTCCTCATCATCCCATCTCCTTGTCCCTGCTCCCTGCACCGTCCACCGTCTTCCTCCCGTTCGACTCTTTCGGGCCTCGCTTCATATCCGGCTCGCGAGCGCTGGCGAGCGTCAGCGTGACATCGCTCGAACCGCTTTGGATTTTTTCCCTGCTGTGCTGCGACCGGGTCGATTGCCCGATCAGCGTGTCCGAGATGGCAGCGCGCCCTCTTCCATCCTTCTCCACCTTCTGTCATCTTATAAACGCCCATCCGTCTTTGCTGCCTTTCCCACCTTGAGCCCTCTCTTCCTCGTATTCGCTGCGATCTTTCTTAGTAGCGACGTGGCGCCCACCAGGACGATGGATGCACATGTGGCAGGATGCCTGTCCAGCATTCAGCCCTTGCATGGTTGGGTGAGCCGTGCCTCGGCACGTGAACCTGGCGCGTGGCTCTTGGATGTTCCACAGCAGGGTCCGTCCCTGTGCTTTGTTTTTCAGTTTCCTGGTGCACATCCGAGCAGGCATGGTGAGCCTTCCAGCGCGTCATCGCAATGGGGAGGGTTTGGTGGGGAGGGGTAGGACGTCAGAGACGGGACGAGCGCATCTAGCCTGCCTCCCTCGTTTTTCCTCTCTGCTGCCATCCTTCCCCTTCACCCCGTGGCCCCCCCCTTCCACGTCGTATCCCCCCCCCCAGGCGGCAGGGCCCCGTCTACACATAGCATCACGCACATATGCATCTACCCGGGGTCCAGTGCCCGGGGCTTCAAGGGCAGACTCCAGATCCCCATGCCAGTGGCGGGGATCGTGCCCCCTCCGAGACGGCAACAAAAGCGGTCGGACACGGCCTCAGAGAGCCCGAATAACCTCCAGGACAGTTCAGGAGGCCCCCGAGACGGCCCAAGACTGCTCGAATATAGCAGAAGATATTCACAAGACGTCGCTATCAAGAGTGCCCAAGCAGTTCAAAACGCCCCCTCCGTAGCCATTTTGGCTCAAGTCACTTTGGCTCAAGGAATGCACGGCAGGTCGTCCATGTGTTGTTTCCGATGTAAGTCGTTTTTTTCTGTTTATTGAGCCATGACGTCCTGCAGCTTGGTAGTGACGCTTTCTGAGAATGCCAACGCGGAGCGCTTTGCTTCATGGATGGCTGCAGAGAAAGAGGAAGTTGTTTTCGCCGTAGACGGCGGGAACTTCGGACGCCCACTTACCGCAGTCGGTGTCCAGAAATGGTGGGCTGGCAAGGAACGATTCTTCATGGAACAGCGTGGCTGGAAGATTCTAGAGTACCGCATCTTCGACATTGTATCAGATGCACAAGTTTGTGGCCATATCGAAGTCGGCATCTTCTCGGGCGCGGACCCCGAGCTCAACGTTGCCACTGCGCACTGCGGTGTTGGGGCTACTTTCGCATGGTTGCTATATGTGTATATCTTGCCGTCTTCACGGGATAAAGGTATCGGAATGGCCGCAGTGGTTGCAGCTTGCCGTGAAGCGTTTCATTTGGGTGCCTCTTCGACGCTATTGATTGTTCAGGAGGCAAACTTGCGTGCGCGACGATTCTACGAAAGGGTCGGGTTCAGCGACACAGGCAAATCAATGACAAGGAGCGGAAGAAGTTTTATCCTCATCGAATACAAGAATAAGAAGGTAGCACCTGCTGTAGCCTTGGTGGAGGAGCAGGACGCTGAGTGTTTGGCAGCTTGGTTGGGTGCAGAAAATCTGGCGGTGCAGCATGCAGTGGATGGCGGGGACTTCGGACGGCCTATTTCTCCTGCTGGCATTCGTGGGTTCTGGTCAGGGTTTGCCCAATGGTGCCGGACAGCGAGATCTCGGGAGGCGCTTGCCCATCGAGTCTTTGTTGCACGCGTAGACGGTGTTGCGTGTGGGCACATTGAGATTGGTGTTCTGCGATCCATCGACACATCCCACAACCCAGTAAACAGTTTCTGTGAAATGGAACCGTTTGCGGTATTGTTGTACGTCTACGTCCTCCCCGAGAAACGTCGGGCAGGTGTCGGCCTGACAATGGTGCATCTCGCGTGCGAGCAGGCATTGCAAGCGGGAGCCAAGCAAGTGGTCCTGCTTGTTGAGGCCAACAATTTGGGAGCGCGACGCTTCTACGCGCGTGCGGGTTTCAAAGACACAGGGGTCACTGTGCAAAAGGCAGGGGCAACGTTCCTCCTTATCGCATGTGTGGGTGCGGGGGAGGCAAGCGCGCAAGACAAGACGAGGGAACTGGAGGCAGATGACTCCGAGTGCCCGAGGAGGGCGCAGGTCGCATAAACCGCATATGTGATGGTGGAGGCGTACTGTCATAGAGACGCGTCATGCTACCACTTCGAGTATGTCGTGTAAACCGTAGGTTGCCACTCCCCAGTGATTATCATCGTATCTTCGACATCCACTGTCGCTGCAACTAGAAAAAAGTTCAAAACGCCCCCAGGGAGGAGCCGAGAAACTACACCATTTCAAAACATTCAGGGAACATCTACAGATGTTGCCGTTCCAGCGTTTTCGTTTGAGATGCGCTTCAGAGTCAAGGTGGACCCCAAGAGGACCTCAAGAGGCTTTGAAGACGCCGCCTTCACGAGACCCCAGGAAGCCGCAAAAGGCGCTCCAGAGGCCTCAAGAGGCCCCCAAGAGGCCCCAAGACGCCCCAAATACGTCATCAAGAGATTGCCAAGGGGCCCCCAGGAGTCGAACGAGGCCCTCACGAGCCCCAAGAGGCCCCGAAGAGGTCCTCAAAAGACCCCCAAGAGGCCCCAAGTGGCGTCCAAGACGTCCCCAAGAGGCCCACACATGTCCCAAGATGCTCCCAAGATGCCTCCAGGAGACCCCCAAGAGGCTCCCAAGGCCCCTACCAGGGGCCCCCAAAGCGCCCTCAAGAGGCCCCCAGAGAACAACGACCTTGCTCAACCACTCACTCCCCTAAAGTCTGGCCAGATTCGCAAACTAATTAAACATTGAAGCACAACCTGAATACAAGAATCCAGTAAATGGCGGCACCGCACAATGAGGACGAGTTCATTGGAGGGGGGCGAGGACGGCAAGGCGGAGTGAGCGAGGGAATGAGCGATTCGCAGTGGAGAACACATGAGAACAAGAGGAAGCAGGGGGAGCACTCAGGGCGACGACACTTGCGACGCCCACTTTTTGCGCAGAACAATGAAAAAGGTATAGAAGCACTGTCGACACGAGCCCGCGAGCGCTCCCAGAGAGCTGACCGCTTCTGTTTCAGCCGTTGCACTTGCTTCCAAAGCATATGTCTGCCTAGAACCAGGGCCCTCGCGGAGCGCACGCGAATGTTACTAGCATGCGACTATACATATATATATATATATAGATATATGTATAGATGTGTGCCTATATAGGTGTATATATACATATATATATATACATAGGGATCTGCAGTGAGGGACCATGACAAGACACGCCCTACGTTTCGTCAGGGTTCCCTGAGTTTCTTTGGTTGGTGTTCGGCGCGGAAGGTCGCCGCAATTTCGAAGAAATTGCAAATGCCAGGCCATTCTGGGTTTCTTGAGCGTCGGTCGGTCCCGGCGCGCGCCCGAACTTCCACGAAATTTCCAGGCATTCGGGGTAGGTTTCTTCGCCCGCCACTCGGATTGTTCGCCCCGCGTTGCCCATCCATCAGCGGGGTTTCGCCAGTCTGTCAAGTGGGCGATGGCACATTTCGGAGCGCATACCCGAAAGTGGGTGCATTTCGGGGCGCATTTCTTGATGTCAAATTGCTTGACGCCAACAGTCAAGAAACCGCTCGGGCCAGGGTGCCCTTGGTTTCTTCGTTTGCAGCCGAAGTGCAAGACACCCGACCCTGGACCAAGAAACCTCGGCGGATTTCAGGGTTGGGTTTCTTGCGTCGGGTTTCTCGCGAATCGACCCCCACTGTATACATGGGGAATTTGTGTATTGATCACCCTCCTGAGGATGGGTCCGAAGGGGTTGCCTCCCCCCTGCGGGCCACTGCAAGGCGGCGATGCCGACAGCCCAAGGACAGCTCGATCTTATCATCATCCGTTCTCTCCCTTCCTCTTGTTTCGGTCTTTATGGTTTATGTCCCCCCCACTGTCTGCTGAGGGCATTGTGAAGAGGGCGAGGAGGAGGAGGAGGGGGAGGAGGAGGAGGAGGAGGAAGAGGAGGGGGAGGAGGGGGAGGAGGAGGAGGAGGGGGAGGAGAAGGATGAGGTGGAGGCGTAGGAAGAGGCGGAGGGAGGTGACGGGGACGAGGACGACGATGATGCGGTGCGGACGATGTGAGAAGGAGGTGTAGGAGGAGGAGGAGGAGGAGAAGGAAGCTGCGGAGAAAAATACTAAGAAAACAGAGGAGGAGCAACAACATCATCAGCACGGGAAGAACAAGGAGGAGGCGGAAAATTAAGAGGTGGAGCAGACATGACAGCAGCCCTTTGACCTATAGCCGCATGCTGAGGAGGGGAATGACAACGAGGGCGAGGAGAACAACTATGGGAAAGCGAAACCGAACAACACTGCGATCCTCCTGCTCCTCCTCCTGCTCCTCCTCCTCCTGCTCCTCCGCCTCCTCCTCCTCTTCCTCCTCCTCCTCTTCCTCCGTCTCCTCCTCCTCCTCCTCCTCCTCCTCCGCCTCCTTGGCGATCCTCCTCCTCCTCCGCCTCCTTGGCGATCCTCGCTTCCCCGCGGCCCCAGGCCGAGGCGGCGCTCGGCTCCCGCCCCGCGCGCGCGCGCGCCCGTCCGCGGCGAGGAGGCCGCCGGCAGGGGCGTGCCCGTGGCCGTTGGCCGGGCGCTCGGGCGCCTCCCTTCTGCTTTCGCCTCCTCCTCCCCCTCGTCCTCCTCCTCTTCCTCCTCCTCCTCCTCCTTCTCCTCCTCCTCCTCCCTCTCCTCCTCCCCCTCCGTTCCTTTTTTCCTTGTGCATAACTTCTCCCTGTCGCACCCCGGGGCAAGTTTTTTAGGTCTGACCGGGCTTCTCGCCTGAGACGCCCTCACCACCTACGATTCTGAAGCTTAAACAATGGCAACAGTTTCACCGATGGAGGGCGGGTGGTTTTCAACATGTGGTTCTCGCCTGAGCGCCGCGTACATTCGTTTTAGACCTGAGCAAGAGCTTCACGGATTGAGGGCGGGTCGTTTTCAAAATGTGGTTCTCGCCGTAGCGCCGCTCACATTCGTTTCAACAAGTTAAAAGAGCTTCACGGATTGAGGGCGGGCCGTTTTCAAAATGTGGTTCTCGCATTAGCGCCGCGTACACTCGTCTTGGCAATTTGCAACAGTTTCACGGATTGAGGGATGGGTCATGTTCAACATGTGGTTCTCGCTTTGGCGCCGCGCACATTCGTTTCAACATGTTGCAAGAGTATCTCGGATTGAGGGCGGGCCGTTTTCAACATATGGTTCTCGCTTTGGCGCCGCGCACAGTCGTTAAACAAATGCAAGACTTTCGCGGGTTGAGAGAAGGCCGTGTTCAAAATGTGGTTCTCGCCGGAGCGCCGCGCACGTTCGTTTTAAACAGTTCCAAGTGTTTCACGGACTCCCATTATCAACGTACCAGGAATTGCGTGTAGGACGGATTCAGGATTATGCGGGCGCAACAGTTATATGGATTCACGAGTTGAAGTCCCAAAAATAGAGGTTCTAGCACGATCCCAGATTGTCAGGACGCAGCAGTCAGGTTGGCCCGTTGCGTGGACATCCCGAGAGCAATGTTTTGGCATGCTTCAAGGTCTTCAAACAGTTGTCTTCCAACGAGGCAGTTCCCTGAATGGAGATGAACCGTTGTAGGGGCCTGTGAAGAGGGAGCTTGGAGGGAGGCTTGATTCAATCATTGTTGATGGCTCTTAGGTTTACGCTGGTCCTCCTCCTCCTCCTCCTCCTCCTCCTCCTCTTCCTCCTCATCCTCATCCTCATCCTCGTCCTGCGGCCCTCTCGTGCTCCTCCTCCGCCTCCTCCTCCTCCGCCTCCCCTCGCCGCAGTGCGGCGCCAGAGCGCTGGCAGCAGCCGAATCACCGTGGGCTCCGGCTGCGCGCGCTCCTGCGCTCCCCTCCCCGCGGGGTCGCCCGCCGGCCCCGTCCGCGGCGGCGCGGCGGGCGGGTGCCGCAGCCTCGCCGGCGACTGTTCCCCCCCAGGCCGTCGACCCCTCGACGGAGGAGGAGGAGGAGGAGGAGGAGGAGGAGGAGGAGGAGGAGGAGGAGGAGGAGGAGGAGGAGGAGGGGGAGGAGGGGGAGGAGGGGGAGGAGGAGGAGGAGGAGGGAGGAGGAGGAGGAGGAGGAGGAGGGGCTGTTCGGACGCACCCCTACCGAGGAGGGACGGCCCCCCCCCCCCCTCGTACATCCCAGGGCTGGTCCCCGAGTTTCTGGTCTCTTCGAAGACCCCCCGAGGCCACGAGCAGGGGTCGACGTCAGCTACAGCGGGGCCACGCATCAAGAAACGGGATGCTTGTCGTCAGGGTGCACTGGATTTGTTCTCTCCGCGCGCTGCGCGGAGGTCTCCCGCGTCCGTTAGACAGCCTGCTGTGTCCCGAGTGCGACTGTGCTTACCCCCAGCCGCACCCTGCGCGCGGGTCTTCTGGGCTGGGTGTCTTACGAGGGTTTCTTGCGGCCACGTCCGCATTGTACTTTGTAACAGGCTTGTTTTTCAAAGTCAGATCTGGCTCCCCCAAAACACGTTTGCAGCGTAGACCGAACTCCTGGTCGCCTCGATGGGGTCCGAGTAGATGGGGTCGGAGGATCGCGCCGCATCGCCCCTACAACGGCGATGCGACTCGATGTGGAGCCCGATTTTCTCCACGCCGACGTCGCCGAGGCATCGCCGAGGCATCGGCGATGCATCGCCGATGCATCGGCGATGCGGCGCGATCCTCCGACCCCATCTGCTCCGACCCCGTCTTAGGGGGCTCTAGCACTGCGGCCGCCCCCCCGCGGCGGGCAGGTGCCGCATCCGAGCTCCTCTGTACACAAGGGCGCCCTCGAGGGCGCGAAGTTATTCGCGCTTCGCGCTTCGCGCTTCGGCTCCGATTCCTCCTCATCCTCCTCTGATCCCCTGGGAGGCGGCGCGAGAGCGCGAAGTTATTCGCACTTCGCGCTTCGCGCAGCGCGAAGCGCGAAGTTGGGAGCCCTTGTGTACAAGGCCTGCTCTTGCGGGTCCGATCTGGGGTCCGGAGAAGATCGCGCCAACACCGTAGACCGAGCTCCTGTGCGTCTCTATTGGGCTCCGGGCAGGCAGGGCCTGGCGCGGATGGCGCCGCCTCGCGGAGGCGTCGACGACGTGGCTCAGCGTGGAGGCCGCCCCGTCTCCATGCAGGCAGCGGCGATGCATCGCCGATGCATCTGGCCCCGTGGGCTGCCAAGCGGTGCGGTGACCACACCGCGTGGTAAGCCAGTGGAGATTCGCGGCGACCGCGCGCCAGCGAGGGGCCTCCTCCTCCTCCTCCTCCTCCTCCTCCTCCTCCTCCTCGTCCTCCTGGCGCGGTCCGAAAGGACCCCCGCGCCCGCGCTGACTCGCCAGGGAGAGCGCGCTTGCCGCGCTGGTCGGATGGGTCGCAGGCGCCCCGATGGGGCCCCGCACCTCCTCTCCCTCCTCCTCCTCCTCCTCCTCCTCCTTCTCCTCCTTCTCCTCCTTCTCCTCCTTCCCCTCCTTCTCCTCTCCTCTCCTCCTCCTCTTCTCCTCCTCCTCCTCCTCCTCTTCTCCTCCTCCTCCTCCTCCTCCTCCTCCTTCTCCTCGTCCTCCTGGCGCGGCGCGCCGAGTGGCCCCGCGCCTCGATGCTGCTCCGTCTTCGCCAACGCGTGTCTGTGGAGGGTCCCCGGCGAGGCGTGGCCGGCCGCACGCGCCCCTCGGGCGCCGGCCGGCGGGGCGCCAGGTCCTTGCACGCGGCGCTCGGGCTCGGTGGCGCAGTTGATCCTCCTCGCTCCTCCGCCTCCTCCTCCTCCTCCTCGCTCCTCCTCGCTCCTCCTCGCTCCTCCTCCTCCTCCTCCTCCTCCTCCTCCTCCTCCTCCTCCTCCTCCTCTTCCCTTTCCCGGAGTCGGAGCCTCAGGAGACAGGGGTCAGTGCAAACGTCGCAGGCTTCGAGGTTGACACTAACACCAATGTCGGCGGTGTGCCTCCGCCGAGGGAAGCAGATCCCGATCTCGGTGATGGTGGTCATCGATGATGGCTTCCTGCGTGACCGACGTATGACCGCCAGCGCCGACATCTGGAGTCGTCGTCCCCCTGCGGAGGCAACCGCCCGTGTTTGTGTTGATGCCCATTCTCGGATGCTTCCTGGGAGGTTGAACTCTGATTTTTCCCTGGTCCGAAATCCAGCGTAATCCCGTTTGATCCCGTTTAATCCCGCTTAATCTGGTTGAATCCCGCTTTGACCGCGGCCTAGTCCGGCGTAGTAGCTCCCCAATGGGGCTTAATCCTCCTTAGTCTTTCCGACGAAGACCTCCCAGTAGTTGCCTTCGAACCAATTTCCAGGCCTCCAAGAAGACCGGGTCCAGGACAGTCGCCTGTCGCAGAGCTCCTTGTGCGCATCGCGCCACGCCGCGTGCTCCGCGCACGCCCGGGGCCCCCTGGGGTGGCGCGGTGCGGGCTGGGCCTCGAGCGAGATGTTCGCCGCCGCCCCCAAGGTTGCGCGCCCGTTGGCGAGCGGCGGCCCCTGCGCCTAGTTCTTCGAAAGTTCTTTGATTTTTTTGGGCCAAGATCCTTTCTTTCCTAATTGTTCTATCCTGGGCCTGTTCCTGGCCATCAGGGGGCCAGGGACAAGTAGAAACGAGCACAATTAGAAATGAGCACGCTAAGAAATGAACGACGTGTATCTCGGCCGCGACGAATTACAAAGGGACGCGGTCGTGAAGGCGGACGCCCATGGCCATGCCGCGGCGCTGCTTTCTCGCCGCGCGGCGCATGCTCGAGTATGCTGCAGGCGTGGGTGCCAGATGGGTGCTGGCGGCCAGCTTCGCCATGTCTCACTCCCGTGCGCGGGTGCGTGCGCGCGCCAGCGAGCGTGCTGTGCGCTCGCGCGATCTGCAGCGGATCGCGCGCGCGTTGCTAGCCCGGGTCGCCTGCGTGCGGTGTGGCTGTGGGTTCTGCGCACAGTTGCGGCGCGCGGCTGCCAGCGGCGGCGCGTCGGGCCAGGCCGTCGGGCCTGGGCCCGTCGCGGCCGCCCAGCTGGCAGCCTTGCGCCGCGCCGCTCCCACCGACGGCGGCAGCAGTTGGGGCCGACGTCCAGCACGCGCGGCTCGATTTGCGGCGACTGGTAAAGCTAAGGGCGGCAAGGGCGTTAGAAGAAGACGTAAACGCTCGAACCGTTATGGGCAGGCACAAATCGGCTTGGGTTTGCGTGTAGGTCCTTCGCACGTGTTTTTGGTCTTTCTATATACACATATATATATGTATATATGTATGCGTGTGTTTTAAAAGTATGGGTCCTTCGGGCGGCAGGTCGACGCGACCGCGGCCCCGCTGCGCAGGCGAGAGTCATCGCGCCGGCGCGCGCCAGGGATGGGTGCCGCGAGGCGTCGTCGCTGCCCCCCGCGACGCGCGTGCTTCGCAGGTGCTCATCATTCTGGGATGAGGCGCCTCGCGCGCGCGGCGGGTGTCTCCCTGGCGCGCGTTCCTTCTTCTGCCCTTCACCTTGTCTGCCACGCTTAAGTCGGGCACGCCCCGCTACAGGAAGATCCAAACATGGTGACCAAATAGGGGGGGGAACAAATATAGTGGGTGGGGGATTTTTCTATATGATGTGTTGCCTAATGTTTTGCTGCTTTCAAGTTGTCTTCCAGAATTCCCCGGTAGGGGGACATGCCCGACCTAATGCTGCGCGCAGGCGTTGCGCGCGACTGCCCGAGCGGCGGTGCGGCGTGCCGGGCCGTCGCGCTCGGGCCCACCGCAGCCGCCGACGGTAGGCAGCCTCGCGCCGCGCCGCGCCCGCCGACGCCTCGGCCGCAGTCGGGGTCGAGGCCCAGCGCGCGCGGCTCGATTTGTTGGAGGTCCGCGCGGCCTGCTTGGATATGCGCCGGGCCCCCAGGCATCGCCTCCAGCGCCGCCCCCGTCGCGCCCCGCGCTCCAGGAAGGGGGGCCCAGCACAGATCAGAGAAGGTCGAGCGGACCCCCGCAGGTTTGTTTGCGTGCGGTTTTGTTCTCTTGTCGGGGAGGTATCACGCCGAGGCTCGCGTGACGGAGGTCCGAACAACAGAATTCAGAGACAGGAGGAGGTCCTTCCAGGAGGCCCCAGCCAGAGCCAAGGCACTTGAAGCTGATTCCCCTGTTCCGCACCCCGCCGATCTGGTTCTGGGAGATGCTGAGGGGCCAAATGGGGTTCGCGATGGGGCCTTGTGTGGCCCAAATTCGCGCTGACCCTGGTCAGCGCGTCCATGACGTTTCACGGATAAGCCCTCGGAGAGTCCTGGTGGATGCCTTGGATTGGCCCTGGTCGCCCCCTGGCTGCGCCTCCGGCGCCACCCCTGGCGCGCTTCGCGTTCCATAGGAGTGGTCCAACGCCGACCCAAGAAATCCGCGCAGACCTCCGCAAATTCATGTTTACCTTGCCCTTCGTTGTTGTCGGCAGTACGAGGATCTAGAGATAATTTGAAGATGCTCGCCGCAAGCGCCGGTTTGTTCAACCAATTCGGGTGGATCGCAGGCGGGTCGCGGCTGGGCCTCGGTCGGGTCGCTGCTGGGTTGCAGGGTGGGTCGCTGGGTGGGTCACTGGGTGGGTCGCCGGGCGGTGCGTGGGCGAGGAGGACGAGCAACACCAGCAACAACGATAATCCGCAACGCGGAACCGCACTTCAGCCGCGCACCAAGGGGCGGTGCAGGACCTTCTCGGCCCCCTCGCTCTGATGCAGTCGTTTCTGGCCGCTCCGTCGTGCCAGGAAGCGCCAAGTTCGCGAGTCGGCGTGGGGCGTTCCAAGCAGGGCCTCGCCCCAGGCACGTTCTGCCCTCGGCGGGAGCTGGCGGAAAGCAAGCGGCGGCGGGCCCGCCAGCGGAAGCCTGTGGACGGTCGGCGGGGAGTAGGCGGACGTAGGAGTGACTCAGGGCTTCCGGGATCGTCCGCGTGATGGTCCAGCTCCGTCTGTGCGAGTAGGGCAACGAGGAAGACGAGGAGGAGGAGGAGGAGGAGGAGGAGGAAAAGGAGAAGGAGGAAAAGGAGAAAGAGGAGGAGGAGGAGGAAGAGGAGGAGAAGGAGAAAGAGGAGGATGAGGAGGAGGAGCGGGAGGAGGAGGAGGAGGAGGAGGAGGAGGAGGAGGAGGAGGAGGAGACGGAAGAACGATGAGTGGATGGGGGAAGGCTGGATGTTTTTGTTTGGGGGGGGAGAGGGGGAAGAGAGGTGGAGGCGCAGGGGCAATGTCGGGAGGATCGGTTTGGGGGGAGAAAGTGAAGAGCATGTGGAGGCACAGGACCAATGTCAGGAGGATCGGGAGTTGGGGCAGAGACGCACGAGCAGCAGGAGCAATACCAGGAAGTTCTAGACCAGAAACATGAAGGAGGCTATGAGATGATAGGACCGGCTAGGATAGGTTAGGATAGGATAGGGTCGGGCGGCACCTGGGGAACAGTCCGAGGGCAGCAGGGGCATGATCCAGACCTCCGACGTCGTGATCGTCTCGCAGCCTGGACTCCTTTTTTCCAACTTGTTGACGGGCTTCTCAGCCCGAGCCCTTTTCCGGCGGTGCTGGGGCCTCACGGGGGCCCCGCAGCCCGAAACTTGGGCCAAAACTTCCCGCCCCGACGTTCCACGACGCGGGGCAGTCTTGGGAGCATGCTGCCTGGGCCCCGGGAGCCCAGGTCCAGCCACGCCTGCTCTCCCGCTGGCCGCCACGGTGGCGGCCTCGTGGGCGGCGGCCCCACCAGCGGCGGCGACGCCGGCGAGGTGGCCGGGGAGGCTGGGCTCACGTGATGGGGATCAGCGCCACAGCGGGGTCAGCCGATCCCCTCTGGCTGACCCGGGTTTGGGAGGAGCAGGAGGAGGAGGAGGAGGAGGAGGAGGAGGAGGAGGAGGAGGAGGACGACGAAAAGGAGAAAGAGGAGGAGGAGGAGGAGGAGGAGGTGGAGGAAGTGAAGAAGAAAGAGGAGGAGGAGGAGGAGGAGGAGGAGGAGGAGGAGGAGGAGGAGCAGGACCAGGAGGAGGAGGAGGAGGAGGAGAAGAAGGAGGAGCAGGGGGGGGCTTCGGGCGACCCGAGTTTGGGAGCCATGGGTTTGGAAGCCACGGGTTTTTCCGCCATCCGCCGGCCAGTGCGCGGGAATTGGTGAGCGACCGCGCCGAGGTTCGCGACATTGCCCTGGCTGGCTTGCATTAGCGCTGACCCTGGTGGGCGCGCCCCCGAAGTTGTACGGATCACTTGTTGGAGGTTCCTGAATTTTTGCGGGTAAATTGTTGCCGCCCCATGGGGCCATCTGGCGCCGCCCTGGCGCCAGATGGCCCCATGGGGCGGCATCTGGCGCATCTGGGCGCCGCCCTTGGCGCGCTTCGCGCTCCGTCGGATGCGTTCCAGCGCCGGCACAAGATTCCGCTCGGATCTTCGAGAGTTTGTGCTCATGTTGTTGTGTGCTCCTCTGCGGTGTCCCCCGTACATCGTCCTGATCCGCGCCATGGGAGATGTTCGTCGGCGCGGACCTCCGCAAGGTCATGCTCATTCCCCAAACTGTGTGTGCACTCAGGGGTTCCCTGGGTGTCGGTCTGGCCGGCTTGCTGTCGCTATCTCCGCTCGTCGCCGCCGTCGTCTGGGCCTGGGTGTCGGTCGCCGCGCTTGTTGTCATCCTCGCCACTCGTCGCCGCCGTCCGCCGGCGCCGTTGGTGTCCTTCGCCGCGCTTGTTGTAGCCGTCGCAACCCGTCGCCGCCGCCCCGTTATACCCCCTTTGCGTCGCAATCGATTGCACTAGATTGCCCAACGTAGATTGCACTCTGCAGCTTGTGCACCATACACACATATACACATACAAAAATGGACCTATATATATATGTGTATATACATATGTGCCCATCTATTTAATGTATGTATGTCTATAGATATGTGTGTTTTTGTTCGTCTATCTATATATAAGCATATACCTATAAACGTACATTGCACAACGTGGCGTTGTATAGCTTCTGTACAGTTTACACCACGGAGCTTACACCACACGAATTGCAGAGCCTACACCACAGAGTTTGCACAACGTACATTTTCATTCTCGGAATCAACGTTTTCTTCTTCGTATATCAATTTACATCTGATTCTGGCCAATCGTCCACCTAAATCTGAGTCCATACCATCCCGGGCAAGCTGGTATCGGCACCTGCCCATCTTCTGGACAGAAATACTATGCGCGCGCGTTCGTTTAGCAAGAATCTTCAGTTGTCAAGAATCCCGTGCAACAAATGGGGCAACGTGCACGTGCGCGCGCGTTATCGCGCGCGCGTGCCAAAATCCTTCAACCACCTTTGTTTTAACACGGACTTTAAACTTGAGTGGCCCGAGGACATATGAAACAGTTGGCTTCACAACAAGAGTGGTCCAACAAGTTTGCGCTGGCGCTCTTTCGGATTTGTTTCTGTAGGTATATATATATATATATATATATAACAGAAACCCTTGGTGTCATTAACAAAACCGTCGGTTGTTCAACAGTTGCATCAAAGACTACCACACGGGCCTCTCGAGCGCGCAGGTCGAAATCGTGCGAACGCCCTTGCGAGCGTGCTGCCGCAATGATCTCTTGCAACAGGTGAGACGACGTGCGCTCGCGCGCGTCGTCGCGCGCGCACGCCGCAATCTTTCAAACACGTGTTGGTTTCGTCAGGGTTTCAATATCGATTGTCCCGAACCATAACAATCACAGGACTTTGCAACGCCAATGTTCAACGGAAGGGTCGCGCTCGCACTCTTGCGAATTCTGAAGAAAACCCTACGTTCTTGTTTCAACCTTGTCATTCCATTCTGCCAAATGGGCCTCCCGCACCGCATGTCGAAGTCAGTCGGGCGCTCTTGCGCGCGCTGGGGGGGGGCACGATCCGTATCAAATAATACCATTTGGGCCGCTCCCGCGCGTCGGCCGCGCGAGCGCGTCGAACTCCTTCCAAAACCTTCATCACTAACGCGAGGACGCCGTCCCAGTCGTCGGCATGGTCAGCATCGGCGCCGTTACTGGGCTTGCCGTCGTCGTTGGCATCGTCGTCACCAGCATCGCTATCATCATACTCCTGTCTACCGGTCTCGGCGTTGCCATGGTACCGCGCCCGCGCAAGTCGCCGACTCGCCTTGAAGCGCCTGCTAGGAAATGCCCAGCGGTTAGCGCCACCGCGGCCGCGTCGTCTCGCCAAATTAGCTGGCCGCTGCGCGCGCGAACATGCGTTGTCTAGCGCGGCCGGGTAAATGCACCAGCCAACGCCAGGTGTTCATCGAAATCGCCGCCGCACGGGTTTATGCATGGGGGGGGTGGAATGAGTGCGTGAGCAGTCAAGCTGACAACTCAGCGCGGACAGGAATTAATTGCACCACACACATTGCACCACGCCACATTTATTGCACGACGTATGTTGTATAACATAGATTGCGCCGCACAGCTTGCAAAACGGATCTACGACCCCCCCCCCCTGGGGTAGTCCGTTCCCCTGGGGATCTGCGAGTTACATCGTGGTTCTGCACTACCATTCATTCAAAGCGTGACACCCCGGCGGTGCGGATAAGAGTGATGGGGCTGCGGGGTCGTTGGCAGTTTGCGAGGCTTTGAAGAAGCCCGCCGCATGTGTTGATTGTTTGATGAGCTATACAACAAGACCGCCGCAAACGTATAAGTTTTGGTGAAGCCAAGTGGGTTGGTCGCGGCTGGGTCGCGGCTGAGTCGCGGGCCGGGTCGCGAGTCGGGTCGCGGGTGGGATGACGACAACAAATAACAAACAAACAACGCAACAACAACGATCCGCACTGCGGTGAATGACCGCTTTGCCCCCTCATCTTGATGAGTTAGTATCATTCCAGCCGAGCCAGGATCGACCCCCCCTCATCTTCTTCAAATGATATGATGCGCGCGCACTTGTTGATTACACGTTATCAATTGTCAAGGGGTTCTGGCAGTAGATGGGATTAAGTTTGCACGCGCGCGTCGTGCTGCCACCGCGGCCGCAGGAATGGCCAGCCAGCGCAACGCAGTCACCCCGCAGTCGCCACCGCATGGGTTTTGCAAACCAAGTTGCGAGCGGGTGGGTGGGATGATTGCGCGAGCCACCGCGTATATTGCACCGAACGTCTTGCATCACATGGTGTGCACCACATAGGTTGCACCACGTAGCTCACACCCCATAGCCCGGGATTTATAATTTGCACCTTATGGTTTAAGCCGGAGATCCCGCGCCACGTAGTTGGGCACGTTGGTTCCCCACAAATTGCACCACCTAGCTTGTACCACATGGATTGCATTGCGTAGCTACCACGCCAGGTAGGCCCCACCACATCGCTGTCACTGCATATGCTGCACACTGCACCACGTAAATCGCACCTCCACCGGATACATCCACCATGTAGAGGATCCTGTGAAAAGGGATCAGGGTCCACTGCCTTCACCATCCTCCGGAGTTATCGTTGCCCTATGCGTGGTTACAGCTTACTTATGATATCGCGCCTCTGCCCATGGTAAAGATCCACCCGGTCAACCTGTACCGTCCCAGCCGACTTGGTATCGACCACCGTCCCCCTCGCCAAATATCACGATACGCTCACAAACCTTGATAAACAACTGTCAGATTCCAAGAAACAGTTGCCAAAACATGTGGCAAAGTCCACACGCGTGCGTCGCCGCGCGCATGTTGAAATCTCGCAACGTAGTTTGGCTTTTGTACGCAATTCAGGGTCGAGGCTCCCAGCAACATATGGAAACCATGCCAACGGTTTTGCACCATGGTGCGTGCCCTCGCGGAACAGAAAATTATGATTTGTCACTATGGTCATCACAAGCGACCAGACGAGCTCTCGCGCGCGCATGTCGAAGTCATTCGAACGCCCTTGCGCGCGTGCGGGGGGGGGGCACGACCCCTATCAAATAATCCATGCTGGTCAATCTCGAGCGTCGGCCGCGCTCGCATTTCGAAATCCTTCCCACAACCTTTATCATCATCGACACGGGGACACCATCATGGTCATCGGCGTGATCGCATCGGCCTGTCGTTTGCCTCGCCGTCGTCATTGCCATCATCGTTAGCACCATCACTATTATTATCATCGTGCCTGTTGTTGTCGACGCTGCAATGATACATCGCCCGCCAAACTAGCTGGCCGCTTTGAGCGCGAGCCTATGTGCGCTGGCGCGGTCGCAGCGACGCGCCAGCCAGCGCCAAGCTGTCATCGCAGTCGCCGTTGCATGGCTTCTGCAAGCCAAGATGCCGGTCGGTGGGTAGGATGATGGGTGCGCGAGCATTGGGGTTGACATCTGATTGCGGACATCGGTTGCACCACCTAATACGCTAGTTTACACGGTGTGGGGTCTACGTTGGTGAGGTTCTCGGATGGTTTCGATTGGTTCCAGATGCTTCGGGCTGTTGTAGGATTTCGATTCGATTGCGGTCGGGAACTTTGGGATAGCGTGCCGCTCCGCCTGTTCTTGCCCACGACGCTTCGGCGCGACGCACTATCCGCTCCCCGGTCCCCCATATGATGAGCTTATTTTCCACCACCACCACCATAAGTTTGGGGGGGAAGGAGGAGGACGACGAGGAGGAGGAGGCAGAGGAGGAGGTGGAGGAGGAGGAGGAGGAGGAGGAGGAGAAGGAGAAGGCGGAGGAGGAGGAGGAGGAGGAGGACCCCCTCCCCCTCCAACTCACGGTGGTGGTGGTGGAAAACAGGCCCATCACTAAAGCGTTTCGAGGCCTCTCCCGACCTCCCTCCCCTCGGAGCGGAACGGCACGCGATTGCCCGCCCTCGCACGTGGCACAGCGTGCCTCGCCGGGGGTCCGCCGCGCAGGCACGCCATGCAGCAGGTGCCAGCTTTGCAGGTGCCCCATTCCTGTCAGTAGGGGGCAAAACACGCAAACACAATCCATCGTCGATTCCAAGGGAAATAGTGGGAAATATGGGAAGTGGGGGGGAAGACGAAAATGCAGAAAATGTAAGAAAAGATGCAGAGTATTCGGATTTTGGTGTATTCATCTGTGTGTCCCTGGGCCCCTTCATCCTCGTTCCCCTTTCCTCATCGGATAGAGTTCGAGTTCGATCCCATCTGGGGACTCCGACTTGTGATTCAGACGGGCCCTCAGACCGCCATCGGGGACCAGGATGTGGAAGTGGACGGCTCTGGGAAGAGCCGGCGCTTGCTTACCGTTGCGAAGCATTGATCGATTGTTCTTGGCCTCCGCTCCATTGACCTCGAACTTGTCATCCTGTCTTGGCGGGGGAAAGGAGAGTGTGGATGAGGGGCGAGAAGAAAGAGGGGCGTGGCTGGACCAAGGGATCATGTGAGGAACAGTTGGAGCGAACTGGGAGGATGATTTTGAGGGGGGTACAGGAGCAGACCTGGGATAGCGGAGGAGTCTGGAAGGTGAGGTGTTCCACGAGGGTGGAAGAGGCGAAGCGGAGACGAGAAAGAAGAGCAGTGATTGCAATGAGAAGGGAGGATGTGGAAGTGGAGACGGCGGAGGAGTGGGGCGAACGAGTGCTTCATGCATCCCCGACCTTTACCGCTGTTTGATGGCGACGCGTTTCGAACTCCAGGCCCCCATGTATGGCCCACACTCAGGCGGCATCCGCGCGCGCGTGCCGTGAATCGCGTGAGCAATGCAGCATAAGGCAAGGCTTGCGACGGATAGGTTCACCGCACGGGGTCATTCTCGATCCGATTCGAGCACGATTCTGGCCGGCTCGTTCCGACTCGATTCCGACGGCCCCATGTTTGCATCGCGCTGCTGTGCGCCCCGGCGCGGCCGACACGATACGATTCCGCCTCCATGCCGATGCGGCCCGACCCAACGCTTGATGGGCGTGTTTTCCACCACCACCAGCATGAGTTGGAGGGGGAGGGAGTCCTCCTTCTCCTCCACCTCCTCGTCCCCCTCCTCCTCTTCGTCCTCCTCCTCGTCCTCCACCTCCTCCCCGTCCTCATCGTCCTCCTCCTCGTTCTCCTCCTCGTCCCCCTCCGCGTCCTCCTCCTCGTCCTCCTCCTCGTCCTCTTCGTCCTCCTCCCATTGTCCTCCTCCTCCTCCTCCTCCTCCTCCACCTCCTCCTCCTCGTCTTCGTCCTCTTCGTCCTCCCTCTCCACCTCCTCCCCCCCTCCAACTTCTGGTGGCGGTGGTGCTGGAAAGCAGGCCCGCTCCAGCGCTTTTCCCGATCCGACCTGGCCTCCCGACGCGGTGCTCCTGCCCTGGCGGTATCTCGACGTCTGGCGCCCCGCGGCCGGCTGCCAGAAGCCGGCGTCCTGCCTGCATCGGCGACGGCGCACGCGGGAGTTGGAGGGGGACGGGGTCCCCGTCTTCCGGCCCCACCTCCTCCTCCTCCTCCTCCGCCTCCTTCTCCTGCTCCTCCTCCTCCTCCTCCTCCTCCTCCTCCTCCTCATCCTCCTCCTCATCATCCTCCTCCTCTCATCCTCGTCATGCCACTTCATCAGCCTCCTCCTCCTCCTCTGACCCTCCGCCTCCTCTTAGACCTCGTCGCCCTCGTCCTCGTCCTCCTCCTCCTCCTCCTCCTCCTCCTCCTCCGCCTCCTTTTCCTCCTCCTCCTCCTCCTGCTCCTCCTCCTCCTCCTTGCCCCCATCCAACTTACGGTGGTGGTGGTGGTGGTGGAAAACAGGCCCAGCAGGAGTTCTTCTCTCTCGGAGAAGAAGAAGACAGATCGCCTCAAACGTAAATGTTTGGTGCTCCGCGCGGATTTCTCGGATCCGCGCTGGACCCCCCTGGCGCGCTCCGCGCGCCAGGGAAAGGAGGTCCAGCGCAGATCCAAAACATCCGCGCGTAGCGCCAAAAGTTTATGCTCATGGCGTTTTGTTCTAGGAGAGCGGTTGCGAGGCAGGCCTTGCTGAGAATGTCCAGGTGGGATTGCAGGGGACGTTCGTGCAAACATGACTTCGGCCTGTTACTGCGAGTAGCGAGGAATAGCAGGCAAATGGCGATCCCTCGTCCTTGAAGAACGGTCGCATGGCCAGAACTAGCGGGCGAGTAGCGAGTGGTGGTGTTCAAGTTGATGCGCTGCGCTGCCCAGATGATCACTCGACCCTCTATCGAATCCCACCTGAGGATGTCGATGGTCAGGGGCGGCTCGACCGACCCCTGGCTCGCCCCCGTCCACCACAACCCCCATTCATCGAGAATATAAGATCCCTCAACCTTACTGTCACAATGAAGACGTAGCCTATCTCAGTTAGGCCGTCGATGATAGCTGTGGGCCGTTTGTTTTGATGCATCTGCAGAAGGGACCTCCTATCCCTAGTGGTGCGGGCCTCTCAACTTAGCTCCGCTCTCAAAGTGTTAGGGGTCCGTTCCATTGCTGATCTGGGCAGCGAGCCCGGGGGGGAACTGAGAAGGGGCCGGCCTTCTCCGAAGCCTCGTGAGTCCCCCCGCCCTCTGGAGAAGTGCCCTGCGCATTTCCCGATGACGCCGAAAACTCGGAAGGCGCGACCTCTTCTGAGGATCCCCGCCGCCTTTGAGAAGGCCTTCTTCTTCTCGTTTCCCCCCTCGCTCGCCGCCGATGATCCTCCTCCGCTCCGACTCGGCCCTGCTTCCCGATCCGGCGTTGGCCGATCTTGGCCACTGGCGAGGGGCAGCCGTCTCGCGGTGCCGCCCCCCCTAAAGACTGGCCACTGCTGCCCCAGGACTGCTCCTGCTTCGCCTCCTCCTCCTTCAGGCAAGCTGTCGGGCCTCCTCCTCCCTCTTCTCCTGCAGGTGGAGGGGGCAGGAGGAGGCGGGGTGGGAGAGTCGCATCTGGCCGAAGCAGAGGAGTTGCTTCATCTCGATGTCTTCCGTCATATATGCCGAAGGGCGTACCGTTGAGAGCACATCCTGCCAGGCGTTGTGCGCTACATCGTAATGTGTCTCCTCCTCCCCCTCCTCCTCCTCCTCCTCCTCCTCCTCCTCCTCCTCCTCCTCCTCCTCCTCCTCGTACTTCTACTCCTACGCCTACTCCTACTCCTATCCTTATTCCTTATTAGAATATACTCCTACTCCCCCCTCAGGCCGGCCGATAGGGGCCGCATCCGGGTGGTCCCATCCTAACCTGTAAAAAAACAATTCAACATCAACATTTTTTTATTTTTTCCTCTCGACATGGACGTCCTGTCGTCCACGGCGATAATCCATTGCAAAAAATACCACAAAGAGCACACGCGCGCTTTCATGTCATAATCCTACCGAACACCGTGTGTTTGCAAGCATTTCAACATAAAAACATCAAAAACCCAATGCTTTTTCACAAAAATTGTACAAATTTCCCGCCCGGGCTCTCTTGCTGAAATCATAGGAAAACCATAGGAATCTTAAGAATTCGGTCAAATCCAGCGATTTCACGTCATCGCGCGGTGCACTCGCGATGCTCTGTCATGCACCCAGGCCGCGAATCCTGTGCAAAAAATACCACAAAGAGCACACTCGCGCGTTCATGTCAGAATCCTACCGAACACCGTGTGTTTGCAAGCATTTCAACATAAAAACATCAAAAACCCAATGCTTTTTCACAAAAATGCTTTGGGGTGTCCTGTCAGACCGTCGGGCTTCCTCCGGCCACCTCTGGCTTCCTGCGGTGTACCGGGCCATTCTCGACTCGTCTGGCAATGCGTGCGCGGCATTCAACACGCGCTCGCCAGTTCCCGTCGGCAACCGCCATCGCGGCCGCATCAGCTGTACCAAACCGGCTGGCCGGTGTGACTTCGGCCCCCAGTTGTGCCAGCTTTGCTTCTTATGTTGTGGGAGGGCGGGTGGGACTGGGCATGCCATGCTTGACTCGCTCGAGCTGGCTAGCTTGACTCCTACTCCTACTCCTACTCCTACTCCTCTCCTTCTCCTCCTCCTCCTCCTCCTCCTCCTCCTCCTCCTCCTCCTCCTCCTCCTCCTCCGTCTCTGTTCCAATCCGGCCCGGTGTTCCGCTATCCGGTGCTGGCCGACCTGGCGCCGGCGCTCCCGCGGGGGGAGGCTGCAGCCGGGCAGAGCGGCGCTGGCCTCGCCGCCGGCGCCGGCGTCGGCGCCAGCTGCGCAGGAGCAGGCAGCAGAGGCGGGCCACGGGCCCCTCCCCCTGTTTGGACTTGGCATCGCTCGGACGTGTGCGTTTTTTTTTTTTTTTTTTTTTTTTTTTTTTTTTTTTTTTTTTTTTTTTTTTTTTTTTTTTTTTTTCTCGGCGAGGTCCATCGAGGAGCCACGCACGAGACCGCAAAAAAACACAGGGAATGGACGTTCGAGCGATGGCCAGTGAATGCAACTCCTGGGAGGTCAAATTCTGATTTGGCCTTGGTCCGAAATCCGGCTTCATCCTGCTCAATCCAGGTGAATCCGGCTTGTTAATCCCGCTTGATCCCGCTGAATCCGGCTTGATCCCGCTGGATCCGAGGCCCACTCTGGCGTAACAGCCCGCCAATGGGGCTCAATCTTCTTACATCCTTCCGACGGAAACTTCCCAGTAGTTGCTTCCTAACCCCTGGACAGGTGGCGCGGACGGAGTCCGGAGTGTCGTTTGACTCGAAGCAGGAAAAGCGGCAGGGGCAAGTATCTGCGCTTGGCAGGGGCAGGCAGTGACACCCCCGTTGGGGCGGTGGCGCGCAGGAGTGGTGGTGTATATTTTGGCGCCCCGCATTTGTCTCGAAGAAAGAGATGCGGCAGAACACACAAACTTTTTGGCGCTCCGCGCGCACTTCGTGGATCTGCGCTGGTGCCCCCCTCGCAGCGCCTCTGGCGCCGCCCCTGGCGCGCGCGCCAGGGAGGGTGGTCCAGTTCAGATCCAAGAAATCCGCGCGGACTGTCAACAGTTTATGCTTATGCCGTGGTCTGCCCCTTTAGGTACGGCAGGAGTCCAGAGTATCGATGAACCAGCCGCTGCCGTCCAGACCCCCGCCACCTCCCCCCCCCATTTGACGATTGACCTTTTCGACACCCGAGGAGCCAGCCTATATCCCCATCTCGAGAGTGTCAGTCGGCCAGGGGTGCCCAGACCACGCCGTTGGATGGAACGATGCTCAAGTTCGCCGTCGTCGTCAATTCTTTCCCGTTGAATCGAGGGAGGATCTGAGGATCTAAGAGGCTCGAGGGTCGAGGATCGAAGAGGATCGAGCATCGGGGAAGGATCGGGGGTCGAAGATATTGATATATACATATATTTATATATAAACAGACATAAGGGGACAGATCGATGATCGAAAGGGGATCGAGGTTCGAGGATAGATCGAAGACCGATGGAAGTTCGAGCATCGATGGGGGATCCTGACTTCTTCCTCCTCGTCATCATCCCTCTTCTGGCTCTTCGTCCTGCTTCCTGCCTCGTCCGCCTCCTCTTCCTCGTCTTCTCCTGGCTGTCCTTCTCCTTTCTCCTGTCCCTCATACTCATGCCTCCTTTCTCCCGTCTGTTGCGCTATCCTTCATTCTCGTGCTGCTCTTCCATGAGGCACGCCGCTCGCCGACGTGCTCGAAACACAGCAGCGCGGAACAGCCTCACAGCTAGCATTATGTCGGGCCTGTCCCTCTACAGGAGGAATCTTCAAAACTAGTCCAAAAATAATCTGGGGACCATTTTCTAGCATTTGTTGTATATGATTGGGGTTTGTAGGGGACGGAGGCGGAGGAGAAAGATGAGGAGGAGGAGGTGGAGGGGGAGGAGGAGGAGGAGGAGGGGGAGGAGGGAGGAGGAGGAGGAGGAGGAGGAGGAGGAGGAGGAGGGAGGAGGAGAGGAGAGGAGGAGAGGACGGAGGGGAAGAAGTGGAGGAGGAGGAGGAGGCTCCGCAAGTGGTCCCTCATGCAGCACAGGGGGCCCAGACCAAGGCAGGGCTGGGACCCCACACAGGAATAGCGAAACTGTCTCAGCAGCGAGATGCCCCCCCCCCCCGCCCACCCCCCTCTCCTGGGCCTCCTGGGGCAGCCTCTCTTACCCCTCCCCTCCTCCTCCTCCTCCTCCTCCTCCTCCCCTCCTCCTCCTCCTCCTCCTCCTCCTCCTCCTCCTCCTCCTCCTCTCCTCCTCCTCCTCCTCCTCCTCCTCCTCCTCCCCCCCCTCCCCCAGCAACCCACCCCACCCCCGCCCAGGGCCCGCCGCCCCTGCTGCCGGGGCGGCGGACGCCGCACGCGCGGCCCCAGGACGAGGGGGCGGAGCCGGCGGCGCCGGAGGAGGGCGGAGCGCTAGGCGCGGGGGAGAATTATCCTGGCGAGGGACCCAACCATGTGCAGTTGTGAGTGACGCAGTTGTGGGCATCGACCTCGGTGAACCTCTCTGGGGTCACGACGCGTGTGACGGGGTGTGCCAAAATTGGCACGTGTACGCCATGCGGACGCTGCCACCAGAGCCGTCGGTGGAGCACCCTATGGGGCCGCGGAACGTGCAAGGGTTGGGGTGGAACTGCATGTGGACCCTGCCATTGGGGCCTTCGGCGGAGCACCCTATAGGGCCACGAAACTTGTGAGGGGTGTGCCGAAATGGGGGGTGGAACCGCATGCGAACGCAGCACTGTGGCCTTCGGTGGAGCTCCTATGGGGCCACGAAACGTGTGAGGGGTGTGCCGAAATGGAGGTGGAACCGCATGCGGGCGCTGCCGCTGGGGCCTTCGGTGGAGCACCCTATGGGGCCACGAAACGTGTGAGAGGTGCGCCGAAATGGTGGTGGAACTGCATGCGGACCCTGCCACTGGGGCCTGGGTGGAGCACCCTATGGGGGCCACGAAACGTGTGAGGGGTGCGCCGAAATGGGGGTGGAACTGCATGCGGACCCTGCCACTGGAGCCTTCGGTGGAGCTCCCTATGGGGCCACGAAGCGTGTGAGAGGTGCGCCGAAATGGAGGTGGAACTGCATGCGGACCCTGCCACTGGGGCCTCGGTGGAGCACCCTATGGGGGCCACGAAACGTGTGAGGGGTGCACCGAAATGGGGGTGGAACTGCATGCGGACCCTGCCACTGGGGCCTTCGGTGGAGCTCCTATGGGGCCACGAAACGTGTGAGAGGTGCGCCGAAATGGAGGTGGAACTGCATGCGGACCCTGCCACTGGGGCCTGGTGGAGCACCCTATGGGGCCACGAAACGTGTGAGAGGTGCGCCGAAATGGAGGTGGAACTGCATGCGGACCCTGCCACTGGGGCCTGGGTGGAGCACCCTATGGGGGCCACGAAACGTGTGAGGGGTGCGCCGAAATGGGGGTGGAACTGCATGCGGACCCTGAAACTGGAGCCTTCGGTGGAGCACCCTATGGGGCCACGAAGCGTGTGAGGGGTGCGCCGAAATGGGGGTGTAACTGCATGCGGACCCTGCCACTGGGGCCTGGGTGGAGCACCCTATGGGGGCCACGAAACGTGTGAGGGGTGCGCCGAAATGGGGGTGGAACTGCATGTGGACCCTGCCACTGGGGCCTCCGGTGGAGCTCCCTATGGGGCCACGAAGCGTGTGAGAGAAGCGCCGAAATGGAGGTGGAACTGCATGCGGACCCTGCCACTGGGGCCTGGGTGGAGCACCCTATGGGGGCCACGAAACGTGTGAGGGGTGCGCCGAAATGGGGGTGGAACTGCATGCGGACCCTGCCACTGGGGCCTTCGGCGGAGCACCCTATGGGGCCACGAAACGCTGTACTCGGTGGGTGAAACGCAGGGAGGAGGGAGAAGGGGGAGGAGGGAGGGGGCAGCGGGAGGTGGGAACGCGGGGCGCTGTCTCTTCACAACGAGGACCCAACATCACAGGATGGTTGGGAAAAAACACACAGACACAATTATGCGTCGACTCACAGGAAAAGATGGGAACATATGGGAAGTGGGGGGGAAGACAAAACCCCGAGAAATATAGGAAAGTACGGGGCATCCTGTTATTTGTGTGTATTTATTTGTGTGTCCTTGGGCCCCTTCATAGGCGTGGGGGGCTGCGTAGAGTCGGGGTGGAGCAGAACGTCGGCGGTAAGCGAGGGGGGAAGTGAGAAGGGTTCTCAGGAGCGGCGGGACTTCTCAGGAGCCCTTCGAGAGGTTTTCTGTGTCTTCGGGGATGGCCCAGAGCACTTCTCAGAAGGCAGTGGGCTTCCGAGCCTTCTGAGAAGGCTGGCCCCTTCTCACTTCCCTCCTTCGCTTGCTGCCGAAGACGGCTCAGAAGACGATCCTAGGAGCCCTTCGTTACCACGCAGCCTCTGCTTTTTCCTGCGTCTCCAGGGGGTCCGCAAGGGTCTGCTGGCACCCCTGGAGACCACCGCAGGAGCCACTGGAGAAGCCACCGGAGGAGCCACCGAGGAGGGCGAGTTGAGGCAACGGCCGTTGGCCTGCGGGGGGTGCCCTCGTCACCACGGCTGGACCCAGCTCTGCGAATTGGCTGGGTGCCAGTGTCTCAACATGCCCTACTCCGACATCGGTGGCTCAGCGGCGACCGCATCCATGTTGACGCCCTCGCGGTCCGGATGCCGGGGCGCGATCCCGTGGGTACGCGCTCGCATGGATACGTTTTGCGCGGGGCATCTGCGAACACACGCCTCGCATGCATGGGGTCGCAGCCCAGGGGCCTGACCCGCGAGGCCGCGGATACGGATGTGTTTCCCGCCCAGGACGGGTACGGGGACGGCGGGGGACGAAGACGGGCAGCGCTCCCTGCCCATTTCGAACAGGGCTCGCTGCTGGTATCTCCGCGGGCGTGGTCCGATTCGAGGCAGGGCGTCGCCTGCCTAGGTTTTGGGCAGCGTCCGCTGCTGGGCCTGGCACTCGCTGTTTCCGTACCCATGTCGGGCGTGCCATGCAAAAGTCAACAAGAAAATCGCGGCGGGAGGTTTCTGCTCATTTTTCGACTTTGGGGGCCTCCTCCAGGCTCCGGGGACAGAAGGTCCACACTTCCGGGGGGGGGTCGACCCTGTGAAAGGATCGCGACGGCGAGGGTCTTGGATCAGGGCACGGTGCGGTCAGGGTAATTTCTGACTTGCGGCTCCAGTGTGTGTGTGTGTGTGTGCGTGTGTGTGCGTGTGTGTGTGTGTGTGGTGTGTGTGTGTGTTGCGGGAGGGGGGGGCGTGTGTGTGTTTGTGTGTGTGTGTGTGTGCCAGGTTCTTCCCACATGGCATGTTCCGTTCATTTTCCACGACCAGCTCTTGCCGAATGTATACTCTGTCCTGCAGCCTCCTGGCACAAGGGGCCCTCTCGCCTCGTGGAGAGCGCCCAGCAGGGTCCTGCCCAAGCCAGGCCTATCCCCGACCGGGCCCAAGGTGCCCCCAGTTTCCCAGGAGTGGAAAAAACATACAAACACAATTGATCGTCGAGTCCCCAGAAAATATAAGGAAGCACAGGAAGTGGGGGGTAGACAAAAACACAGAAAATATTGAAAATATGGGGAATCCTGTTATTTGTGTGTATTTTTTTTTTTGTGTGTGCCCCAGGGCCCCATTAACAGTTTCTCGCTCCGCGTTGTAGCCTTTGGCGCCCTCTGAGCCTCGCGGAGGGTGCTCTCTAGACCGCGGGGGTCTCCCTGGAGATCCCGGGGCCAGGGCCACCCCAAGGTTCCCTTCTTTCGGGGGCGGCTAAGAGGGGGGTGATGACTAGGGAGGGGTGGATATCATGGCGTGGGCCATGGTATTTCCCCAGATTTCATGGCGCCTCTTCTCGTTTCATTACGTCCCTGGCCCCCCCGCTGGGCCGCGCACGTGCCGCTGGTCATGATTTGCACCCCCCCCTCTTGGACACCCCCCTCTTGGCCGCCCCCGATCTCAGCCCTTTCGGCGTTTGAGCGGGGCGGGCTCCATTCCCTGGACCCCGTCGGAGCTGAGCCCGTTCGGCTGCCCATTCGGCGGCCAAGCGGGCTCGGGCGCCGAACGGGCTCAGGAGGGAACCGTGGTGCAGGGAGACCTCTTGATGGCACGCCCCCGTGAGGCAGCCGCAGCCGGAGCCCCAGCGCCAGCAGCAGGAGGAAGGCCGAGAGCAAGGCCAGTTCGCGGGCTGGCACCTCGACTTCTCCCTCCGATCTACTTGAGGATGATGATCCAGTAATCATTTGCACTGCCATCCTAAGAATCATCATCGTCACCATCATCAGCATCATCAGCATCATCATCACCCCCACCACCATCATCATCATCATCATCATCATCATGATCACCAGCATCAACAGCAGCATCATCATAACCATTACCATCACCACCACCATCACCACCAGCACGAGCATCACCATCATAATCAGCATCACCACCACCACCATCAGCGTCATCAGTATCATCATCACCACCAGCATCACCTTCATCATCAGCAGCATCATCAGCATCATCTTCAGCATCAGCAGCATCAGCGCCGTCATCGTATCCTTCTTCATCACCAGGACCGTCATGATCCGCATCATCAACATCACCACCATCAGCATGATCATGACTAGGATCATGATCATCATTTCCATCATCATCATCATCATCATCACCATTATCATCATCATCATCATCATCACCATCAGCAGCAGCATCAGCATCATCAGCATCATCATCAGCAGCAGCAAGTCCTGCTACTCCTGTCGGCCCCCTCTTCGCACCCATACTCCTGTCGGCCCCCTTGGTGAGCCTCACCTCGCCCGATCTCCTTCGGCTCCCACCTGCTGGGGCGGGGCAGCTGCGGGGGCCCCAGCTTGTACCCCCCCCCCACCACCTCCATCCTGCCACGAGTCCCGCTGCGAACAGCAGTGGGGAAGGGTGGCTTGCTGGAGAGGGTTTTTCGCTGACGGCTCGATGTTCCATGTGCAGGCGAGGGTATCGAAAGAGAGATGGCTGGGCGTTCGCGACTCCACCGCCTTGCCGTCTCATCCTCTCACGTCATCGCTCCTTCGCTACAGTCCCTCCCCCCCTCCGCGCAGTCTCTGCTTTTTTTTCGGCGCCCGCTTACTTCCTCTCCAACCCGCTCCATTCCCCACCCCCTCCGCTCCACCTCGGCCTTCTCCTCCTCCTCCCTTCTCACGAAGCTTGAAGGAGGAGGGAAGGGATATTGAGGCAGTGGGAGTGCGAACGCGAGGTGCGGAGGAGTGCGCGATGTATGCGCGGTAATACTAAACACACTCTGGGTCAGGAAATCAGGTCCTGCTTTTCAAGACAGAATGGGCCTCTTTTACGGTGGTCGGTTCTGGCCCAGTTCTCCACTAGCAGCTGAGCCGTCACGGGTACGGAGGCGGAGGAGGAGGAGGAGGACGAGGAGGAAGAGAAGGAGGAGGCAAAGGTAGTAGGACGAGGAACAGGAGCAGGAATCGGAGGAGGAGGAGGAGCAGCGGGAGGAGGATCAGGAGGAGGAGGAGGAGGCGGAGGAGGAGGATGAGGTGGAGGGATGGGGCAGAAGAAGGGGGGGATTCTGGGCGGTATTTTTTGCTGCCGATCCAGATCCTGATCCCTGGAGGAACCCAGAGCCTTCTGGAGGTGTCGGGCTCCCTGAGCCCCGACAAAGGCCAAAAACATACGAGCACCTCCCCTCTCAACTTTTGAGGGTCCATGGTAGAATTCGGTCAGGGGAGCACCACGGGGGGCAGGGGTGATCCCGTCCGTGGAGTGGCACTCCCCGAGGCGTCCGTGCTGCCGAGCCTGGCGCGCAAGCTGGACCTGGCGGCACGCGGCCCAGTACTCTCCTACCAGGAGGGGCCGGACTCCCAGAGGAGTCTTTCGGTCCCCTCCACCATCTGCTCCTCCTCCCCCTCCTGCTCCGTCCTTTTCCGTTGCGCTGAGGGAGGAAGTACGATACAGAGGGTCCGCGCGGAGTTGGTTTGTGTGTGTGTGTCTGCAATGGGCTCCCTGGCTCTCTCCGCGCGCCAGGAAGGGCTCCAGCGCCGATCCTAGAAATTTGCACGGGTCTCCTCCTGCTCCTCCTCCTGCTGCTTCTCCTGCCCCTCCTCCCGCTTCGCCTCCCTTCCTTCGTGGAAGAGGCATGAGCCCATCCTTCACACCATCGTACATGTGATTGGCCGTAAAATCAAGACGCTGCAGGTGCCCTCCGGCGCGCACCCGGGCGGAGCCTTTCGCAGCGTCGTCACGCATGATACTGGTCCACTCAAAGCTGGAAGAGCCTCGCGGTGCTCATAGCTGGCCCGTCACCATCATCATCAGCATCATCATCAGCAGCATCATCAGCAGCATCATCATCAGCAGCAGCAACATCATCAGCATCAGCATCATCATCATCGGCAGCATTATCATCATCATCAGCAGCAGCAGCATCAGCATCAGCATCATCAGCATCAGCATCATCATCAGCAGCAGCATCAGCATCAGCATCATCACCATCGGCATCATCATCATCATCATCAGCAGCAGCAGCAGCACCAGCATCAGCATCAGCATCATCATCATCATCATCGGCAGCATTATCACCATTATCAGCAACGTCATCAGCATCATCGTCATCGTCATCGTCTTCAGCATCATCATCATTCTCATCATCACCACCATCATCATCGTCGTCATGGCTGGCCCCGTTTGACACACACACACACACGTAGACCAGCAGCTCGACAAATTTGACACGATTGGCCCTTCGGTCCAAGCGTGACTTGAGTGGGTCACCGCCCTCGTGCAGGGAAGCCGCCGACGATCGAGGGGCCCGACCTGACACCTGCGAAGCTGCCACTGGCCATCCAATCGTCGATGTGGTAATGCGCGTACCGATACCAGCGCAGGCACATTCTATGCGGCAGTCTCCAAGTGGCCACAGGACACTTCTACGCCGACGAGGACTGCAGGAAAGTCTTGCTTTGGCCTGGGGATACTAGCTACTAGGGCTGGATGGGGCGTCATCATGTCAGGGGGTCCACCGAGTTTTTCGTCCACGGACGTCCTCCTGCCCTTCTTCAGACTAACCCAAACCGCTGAGCTGCGCGCGCATTTGCAGGTCAGAGAGGTTTGTGCACTGCTTGTCCAAGTGTGCCTTACCGATTCTCTTCGGCTGGTTGAGGGCCTTGACTTGGGCCCTCCTAGCCTCGCGGCCATCAGGGGCCCAGCGCCGACCTTCCGGGCAAGATATGGAGGAAGATAGAGGGCCTCGGTGGCCTGGGAGAGACTTCTCGGGTTTCGCGCGTCAGGGGCCACCAGACTGGGGACTCCACCGAAGAGAGCTCGAAGGGGTGGGCTGTGACTTTGCGGCACCGGACGGGCCCAGAAGGGAACCGCAGGGCTCCTGTTATGGGGAAGTGGAGGCGTCGGGGGGTCCTCCTCCCCCTCCTCCGCCTCCTCCTCCTCCTCCTCCTCCTCCCGCTTCCCTCTCCTCCTCCTCCTCCTCCTCCTCCTCCTCCTCCTCCTCCTCCTCCTCCTCCTCCTCCCGCTTCCGGGGGGCGGGGCGCGGCCGTCCGCCGCCGGAGCGGGGCGGCAGGAGCGGCCCGAGCGCACGAGGAGGGCCGAGATCTCCGCCACGCCAGGGGTTGCCTCTCTCCCGTCGCCAAAAGAACCATCGGACCCACACATCTTTCCAGCCTCGAACGTATCCCTATCCCCAAGATTGACACGCCAAAAGGCGATGACAATCTTAGGGACTCGCCCTCAAGAAAATAAGGGAATCCCTAAGATTGGCATCGTGATGAGGAGGTGCCCAACATAGGGATAGGGATATGTTCCAGGCTGGTAAACCGCGGGCGTCTCGAAAACATCGAGACGGAGGTTTTTCGCAGTTTTGGGCCTCTCGGGGCCCTCGCTGGGCCTCGGGACTGTCAGAAAACGACTTGGGATGAGAAACCGGTCCCGGGGAAGTGGTCGGGAGGTCGGGGGCCCGTGTCTCGACAAACATCGAGACGTCGGACGTCTGGGGAGGTTGACAGACCTCCTACCCTTCCCTCGTTTTCCTCTACCCTTCCCGTGTTTTCCTCGTTTTGGGCCGCCTGGGTAGCCCTCGTCGCCCTCGCTGGATGCGCCTCGGAATCCTGGTCAGAAGGCACCCCGGGAGAGGTCCGGAGAGTAGCGGTATCGGTATTTGTTGGTTCCCCCAGAGTCGGTCTCTCGTGGAGGGGGCGGTCGCCAAAGACCATCGGAGGTTGACAGACCTCCTACCCTGACGCGTCGATTTGCGAACTGGCCGTTTTCGATTCGCGAGAGGGCGGCGCGGCCGTCGCTTTTGCGGACCCGGGTCCGTCGGCTTCGGTCCAATGGGGTGTTTTGCACGGAAGGGTGGTTTGCTGAAGGGAGGTTTGTCCACCGCCGAAGCCAGCGGCAGCTCCGTGCGCGAGTGGCTCCAGCCTGCCGGGGGTCGACCGGTCTCGTGGACCAGCCGCCCCCGCTCGCCTGCCCCGAGGATTGGCTTCGTGGATCGGGGGAGCGTAAGACCCGTTTTTGCCAGGACTCGGGTTCGCCATCGTTTTTTGACGAGCGCGCCTCGGATTTTCACGAGGAGGAGTTTCGTGGGATGTCTGCAGCGGGAGGCCTCGCCAAAATGCAGGTTCGGCCTCCTCATTTTTGTTGACGACCTCGTGGGGGAGTTCCGAGTCCCCTGTGCCCAGGTCTTACGTCCCCCCTGAGTGGAGGGGGGGGGGTCATCCCGAGGTTCCCAGAGATCCGAGGGTCTGATCTGCTCGATCCAAGGGCTCCCTCGAGGGCGCGAAGTTATTCGCGCTTCGCGCTTCGCGGTCCTCGTTCCTTCTCCCCCTCCTCCTCGTCCTCCTATTCTCCCTTTGGGAGAGCGGCGCGAGAGCGCGAAGTTATTCGCGCTTCGCGCTTCGCGCAGCGCGAAGCGCGAAATTGGGAGCCCTAGTCGATCGGGCGTGCTGCTCCTGGATCTCGGCCTCCACAGGGCCCGCGGTCGGGCCCGGGGGCCATTCCAAAGCGGCGCGGGGACGGAGAACCATCCCTGGGGGAGGGGTCTGGACCTTTTGGGGAGGAGGAGGAGGAGGAGGAGGAGGAGGAGGAGGAGGAGGAGGAGGAGGCCGCGGATTGCAACAAAATCAGATCGGCGGATGTTTGGGTTGTGTTCGGGGGCGAGCCCAGCTGGATGCTCACATGTCTTTCTTCTGGAGGCCGTCTGGAGCGATGTTCCTCTGACCCCCACCTCTGCCCTCAACTGCCCCCCCGCACCCCCCCACCCTCGCGTCCCCCTACCCTAACGTCCCTCGATGCCGTGCCCCCCTCTACTGCTGTTTGGAAGTCTGCTGGGGCGGGGCGACTGAGAGTGGGGCTGCTGTCTGGGCCGGTCTTGAGCCACTGCATGCCCACAGCCCGCCCCCTGACGGACCTCTCAGGAAAGCGCCCCAGAGAGGCCAGGCACCCTGACCTGACTGGGACGCGCCAGCTTGCAGTCTTGCGCCCTGCGTGTGCCCCAGAGCTTGACCCCGGCCCGGCAGGACCTGGTGACGATTTGTTCTGCTATTGTTGACTACTCGGACGTATTTTGTCAGATCTGTTTTTTCTCCCCTCCAAAATCCCCGCTTGTAGGAGGACATGCCCGACCTAATGATAGTCTGGCCGAGCGGGCTCAAATCCCTCGACCAAGTCAGCTCCAGGCTCGTTCGGCTGCCCGTTCGGCGGCGGCGGTGGCCCTTTGGCCCCGGCCCGGCAGGACCTCCTGCCACGAGGCCGCTCTATATATCTCCCCGCGCGAGTCGTCCCCTCCGAAACGGACAGCGAGCAGCGCGTGCGGGGTCGTTGGGTCGCTTCGACGCGCCAGCTTGCCGTCTGGCGTCCGTGTGTGACGCCCCAGCGCTCGGCAGGACCTCCCGCCACGAGGCCGCTCTGCCTCCCCGCGCGAGCCGTAGCCCTCTCCGAAGCGGCCGGCGAGCAGCGCGTGCGGGGGCCGCGTGGTCGGGGCGCATCTGGTGGGAGGCTGGCCCTTCAAAATGCACCGCTCGTCCCCCGACCCCCTCGATTCATGAAAAAATCATGGCGAGAGTTCGCTATTTTCGGCCTCCGGGGGCCCTTACCGGCCCTCAGGACTGTCAAAAAACGACTCGGGATGAAAAACCGGTCCCAGGGAATCGGTCCGGACCTCTGGGGGTCGCGTCATGAAACAAATCATGACGTCGGGGGTTTGGGTCAGCAGGACTGCTTCTTGGGATACCCTGTCCCAAAGAGTTGTCCAGGGCCCCGGCCGTCCCCATCGAAAAAGGGGAACATGGCGCCAGAGACGGGGGCACAGCCAACGGGGGCACGGGGAACGCCGATTTCCACGTTTGGCTATGCCCCCGTTTAGGGGGCCCTGAGAGCCGTAGGTGGGGCACAGTGAACGGGGGCACATGGAGAAGCCGAAGCCCCCTTTTAGCGAATCCCCCGTTTTACGAAGCCCCGAAAGGGCACGCAGGCTAATGTCCATCCTGATGTTTCGGGGAGGTCCTGTTCCCTTCCGTCTGCGTTTGTGCATGCGTGTTCCCCTGGCCTCGCGAAGGCGAGGGCCTGGCCCCCATCATCTCCACCTGGGCATCAGCAGTTGAGGGCCCTCAGTCTCCCGTGCGACCCTTCCACTATGACTTAGAAGAGGAGGGAATATCTCAGTAGAGTTCAGCGGGGTCTCGCTCCCAAGTAGGCAAGTCAGCACTGCTTCGCAATCGCTCCGTACCCGAAGCCCAGAGGGAGAGGGACGAAGGGAGGAGGCAGTCAGAGCAGGACGTAGAAAACCGTTTCTGGTTCTTCGAGTGCGGCTTCGGTGCCTGACAACTGCGCTCAGGGGGGATCGTGCCAGGATGACCGGGAGCAACAGGAAATGCATGAGGGTCGGGAGTAGCAGGAGGACGAGGAGGCGGGGCAGCAGCAGGATGACGGCACTCAGGAGGAGGAGGAGGAGGAAGACGAAGGGGAGAGGGAGGAGGAGGAGGAGGAGCTTGAGGAGGAGCTTGAGGAGGAGCACGACGAGGAGGATGATGATGTTGCGGGAAACCACGTGAGGACAAACGGGACAAGACGGAGGACAGGGGTGAAGATGGAGAGTGAGATGAAGCATGAACTGGAAGAAAACATTGAGACTCGGACGACGAGAAGCATGAGCAGGAGTAAGTATGATGAGGGTGAGATAATTATCATGATGAGGAGGACACCCGAAGTAAGGGGACGAGGCCAAGGACCAGTTCAGGTAGAATGAGCAGTTAATCCTAAATTGTGGTGGGGGCAGGGCCGTGAATTCAACGGCACGGAGGAGGATTTCGAGGATTTGGCCAAGAAGTCTGGCCCCTTGTACATCGGTGAGGCTGGCTACCAGAGCTCTGCGCCATCACCTCTGTTGCTTGCCTGGGGGGGCGAGAAGCAGATGAGGCCAGAGAGGAGGAAGAGCAGGATGATAAGTGGCAGTGAAGGGTGCAATCGGGGAGGGCGGGTGGAGGAGTCCGGGATCCCGTTGATCACGCAGGAAGGGAGGGAGGAGGAGGCAGGGACGGCGGGCGAGGAAGAGGAGGGGAAGGATGGAGAGCACGACGACGTGGACGAGGACGAGGCCACACCCAGGTGCCTCGCCTGTTCGCGACCGCGCCTCCTATCGCAGGGACGTTCCCGTTGACGTGCCACCGCGTCCCTGACATACTTGGCATCAGATGCCAGATTTCTGACCTGGGCTGTGCAATACTAGGATGTCACCATGTTGGCCTTTGCCGTGCAAATTTTTGACATAGTGGGGGCCAGGCTTTGGTGCCACATGTTCTCGTCGTGCATAGGGTTCCAGGTGTGAGTACGTTGCACTCGTGCGAGATTTGTGCAGTGCTTGCGCCCACACGTCACTTCTCGCAGTTCCCTTTTCTCGTGCGGATGTTTAGGAGTTCAGCGTGGCGTTCACAGCGCGCTGGGATAGCTTCAACGGGTGGGCCACGGGGCCGCCCGCATGGTTAGGGTTGAGCGAAGAAGGTCAGCAGTGCTAGCATGTGGAGGTGGATTTTGTGTGACGTGGTGATAGTGCAACTGGGTGGGGAAGGCGAGCGACGTGGAACGCAAGAAAGGTCAGCAATGTCCACATGGAGCGGAGAAGGATTGAGACGAGGTAGGGGCGGGACGATGGCGCGGCCCACTATATTTTGGACGGGATGGCGGGCGTGGATGGGGTTACGGCCAACGGCGGCCACGGGAAGTGGTAGGGGCTGTAGTTGCCCTGATACGCCCGTGTTGAGACGCAGCACGTACCGTGTTCGGAACGTCCGCGTTAACACGCTGTGTGTCGGCTCGCCACGTGTTGGCGTGTTGGCCCGCGTTGGTCCGAACGCACCGTGCCGGATCCACGTTTTCAGTCTACGATTTGAGCTCCTTGTCAGCATTCTACGTGTTGCGTGTTGCGTATCCAGGCAGCTAAGGGCAGGGCGGGTGGTCAGCCGGTGGGATCCAGGCAGGAGCGGCGGGTGTGCAAGGAGGGGGCCGATGAGAGCGCGGCTGAGTACGAGGAGGGAGCTGGGGGGAGGGCTCGAGAGGAACGAGCAGGAGGCGGCTGGTGTCGAAGGCGCAGCAGAGTTGCATAGACGTCAGTGTTAGGAACTCCGCGCGCATTTCTTGGATCGGCGCCGGGTCCTCCTCCATGGCGCGTGGAGCGCACCAGGGGTGTCCTCGGAGGTCTGCCCGTGGGGTCCGGCGTCGATCCCGGTCCTCCGCGCGGAACTTCGAAAGTTCACGTCTATGCGTCGTTGTTTCTTCCTCCTTGCAGGGGGGGGTGGGATGTGGCACGCAGGGGGGTGGCAGCAGTTTTCCTTGTCCTTGCCTTCGTTTTCCACTGCTGATCATCCTCCTCCGTCTCCGTCACGCCCGCTGTGTCCTCTCCAGCCTCCTTGTCGTGGTCGCTCTCCTGCGTCCGCGCTGTCGTCCTCATCTTGTCTATTGTTCTGAACTCCTCCGTCTGGTCCAATCCAGAACGTTCCCAGCTGCCTCTGTACCCTTATCCTTCCTCCCTCCCCCCGCCACGCGTGATCCCTTCCTCCTCGGCTGTTTTCCTCTGCACCATCACTGTCGTGTGAGTTACACTTCGCTCCGCCGCCTCATGTTGCCCCCGCTCCCCAATCCGTCTGCTGCTCCTCCCTGACGTTCGTTTGATATGCTTGATTGTTTAAGGGGTTGTCGTCATGTTGCTGAGGAACGCGATTCTCCTGCCTTGGATTAAGAAAATGAGGACCAAGAGGAGGGCGAGGACGCGGCGCAAGCGGGAATCACCAGCGGCTCGGAAGCCGTGTTCATAATCATGATGATCATCATCATCCTCAGCGTCAGCATCAACATCATCATCATGGTCATCGTCGTCATCATCACCACAACCACGAACATCATCTCCACCATCACCACCGTCGTCAGCATCATCAACCTTAGCATCATCATCATCCTGACCATCAGCATCATCACCATCATCATCGGCGTCAGCATCATCAACATCATCAACATCATCGTCACACGCCTCATCATCAGCATGGTAATCATCATCATCACCACCATCAGCATCATCATGTTGATCACCAGCATCATCGCCACCCATAATTTCCACCGTCGTCACCATCAGCACCATCATCATCATCATCATCAGCATCATCATCGTCATCCATATCATCATCATCAACCTCATCATGATGTACAGCATTGTCATTATCCGCACTCGCAGCAGCATCAGCATCATCATCAACATCATCACCATCGTCATCATGTCCATCCTTGTCATCATCAGCATCATCAGCAGCACCAGCCGCAACATCATCACCATCTTCAGCATCATCATGACTAGCATCGTGATCATGCTCGCCACGATAACCAACATCCTCGTCACCATCGGCGTTATCATCCGCATCATCATCTTCATCTGCAGTGCCGTCATCATCATGCGTGTCCTTTCCTGTCCCATTGCCGACTCTGTGTCCCCACAGCCATCACTGCCGTTCATGTGTTTCATCGCTTTCCTGCTATCGCCCCTCCAGACTTCGGACGTCGTCATCTTCTCACAACTTGGACGCTTATAGTTCTGGACCAGATCCCCCGGACGCTTGTTTCATCCTGCGTCGTCATTTTTGCCACGCCGGGGGGCCCTGGGGGCCCCCAGAGGCCGAACACTCATATGAGAAACGCCATCGGGAGGTCTTCACACCAAGAAAGGTATGGGTTCGTCTCCTCCTCGCCTGCCTTCTCCTCTGCTGACGCATCCTGCACCTCCTCCCCATGTCCAGTGCCTGGCGGAGGTGGAGCCGCATCCTCGACTTCGGGAACGGCCCCGAGAAGGGGAACATCTTCATCGGCAACAGAGCTAACCAGGGCACCTTTGTGTTCCACGTCTGGGTCGAGGACGGGGGGAGGGGGCCCTGACCTCCTCTGCGTCGAGCCAACAGGGCCCCAGTTTGTCCGTCATGGCAGACGACCAGGGAGGAGTAGCGGACTCGTGAGGCAAGGGCGTGCAAGGGCGTATCCACCGCTGAAGCTCGAAGGGCGATGGTGAGGTGGAGAGGATGGAGGAGCAGGGTGAGGAGGAGGAACAGAAAGGGGGACCTCGCGCTCGTGCCTCTGCAGGCGTCGGCCACCGACTCGGCGATGGTGGCCTGCTCGTGCTGCTGCGGGAAGCGGCATCAGCGACACGCGCAGTCGTACGAAAGCGAGGGGCGCGTGGATTCGCGTGCACGGGCTGCTGTCCGCCCCCTGTGCGCGGCGGCACTGCTCCGGTGAGCGACGACGCCGTGGGACTTCACGTCCTGGCGTGGGATCCGGATGCTGGGTCTCCCATCGACTCTGCGGAGGTCTGGCACTCGACGAGCACTCGACCAAGCGAGCTACTGATAGACAATGGGAGCAAAATTCCTGGCGGCAGGAAGGAACGTCATGGACCGGGTATTGCTGCGGCAGGGCGGGCTCCACAAGGCTGCGACACCTTTCGTGTTCAACCAGATCGGGAGGGGCAGTTCAATATCACGTGCGGCCTGGAGGCGCTACTTCCAGTCAGGAGCAGCGCTGCACGGGCAAGTTAGAAGCAGAAGACATCGAGATGATGCCGCCAATGTCTACCAGGCCATGAAAATGGCGACGCAGACCATATTCTGGAGCACCCCAGCTTCGATGCACCCAGGATCAGGTACACCACGACGCGGGCACATCTCGACGCCCTCGCAGCCTCCACAGACGCCAGGACGGCGTGCGTCCCGCAAGGAGGGGGTACCCAGTGGTGGCGACGCGCTCTCCATCTAGCTTCACATGAGGCGTTCCAGACATGGCCTCGCCATCGAGGATCGAAGCAGGCGTCATCTCTTCCGCAGCGGAAGGCGGCGGCAGGGCGGCGGCAGGCCGGCGGAAGTGAAGCGAGGCCGCCTCCGCCGGCGGACGCTGGCGGAAGGTCGGCGAAGGGCGGCGGAAGCAAGCGTCGACCTCCCAGGAGGTAGAGACATTCGGCACGAACGAAAGGGGTACGGAAAGAATGGGTACAACGCACAGCAGCAGTTCCTGTTCATTTTGAGCAGGACTCGCTGTCGGTGTCACCGCGGCCTGTGCACATTCGAAACAGGAGGCCGCCTGCCCAGCAGCGGCCGCTGTTGGTTCGGGACAACGTTTGTTGTTGTTGGGCACTGTACCCAATTTTTCCGTACATATTTCGGGCGTCCAAAGTCAGGAGCAGAAAAAAAAACACACAGACACAAGTAATCGTCGATTCCCCAGAAAATAGGGGAACATGTGGGAAGTGGGGGGCGAAGACGAAAACCCAGAAACTATTGGAACATATGGGGAATCCTGTGGGATCCTGTTATTTGTGTGTGTTAATTTGTGTGTCCCAGGGCCCCTTCACAGAGACATGCTTGAATGCAGGGTCTCCGCGATCCGCCCTCTGGCTCCACGGGGTCGAGCATGGGCGAACGGCTCGTTTCGGGGCAGGCCGAAACGAGCCGTTTGCCTGGGGGGGGGGGTCTCCTTCTCCTCCTCTTCCTCCTCCTTCCCCTTCTCCTCCCCCTCCTTCCCCTCCTCCTCCTCCTTCCCCGTCTCCTCCTCCTACCCCTCCTCCTCCTCCTCCTCCTCCTCCTCCTCCTCCTCCTCCTCCTCCTCCTCCTCCCTGGGGCAGGGGCCGCTCGGGGAGGCCGACGGGGGCGGGGCGAGCAGACGGCGAGGGCTGGGCCGTCGCGGCAGGGCGCGCGGAGGAGCAGGCGGCCGCGGCGGCCTACTCCTCCTCCCCCGAAGACGGAACGATGGAGAACGAGAGCGGGAAACATTGTTTGGCTCGAGTCCTGTCGGCGCCCATGACGTGAAGCGTCAAGGGGAGTGAGAATGAACACGTTTGGGCCAACAGCGCGGTTTGGGGACCCAGCACGTTTCCTCTCAGAAAACAGGGCTGGCTCCAAAAGAGAGGCTCTACAATTTGCTGCACATGCATATGCTACCAGGGAGGGATCCGAACAGCAGGTGTTATTCGGAAGTGGGAGTTCAGCAACAATAACCAATCAACTACAACAAACACGCATCATCTGGGCCACTTGATTCCACTTCACCCGCGCACCAAGGGATGGAGGAAGACTGCTCGAGCTTCTCACTCTGATACTAATACGTTCCAGGAGTTCATGGGCTCCAGAACTGCGGGTCGGCACACGCTCCTGGAATCCCTGGAGAGCAACCTGAGCCCAGCGCCTCGCGACAACACCCGCACGTGGAGAGGCCGCAGTGGAACCCCAAGGCGCTCGGAGAACCAGGGCAGGACAGCGGCACAGGTCCGGCCTCGCTCCTGCACATCTCCCCCCCCCGGCAGGGAGCGGGGAAGCCGTCCGAGGAGGAGCGTGGGAAGGAGGAGAAGGAGGAGGAGGAGCGTGGGAAGGAGGAGGAGGAGGAGGAGGAGGAGGAGAGGAGGAGGAGGAGGAGGAGGAGGAGGAGGAGGAGGGGAGGAGGAGGAGGAGGAGGAGGAGGGGAGGAGGAGGAGGAGAGGAGGAGGAGGAGGAGGAGGAGGAGGAGGATGGGGGAGGGGGAGGGGGAGGGGAGGGGAGGGGGGAGGAGGGGGGGGAGGAGGAGGAGGAGCGTGGGAGAGAGGAGGAAGGAGGAGGCCACGCTCGATTCGCAGACGAGCGGGCCCTCGAATATTGAGCGAGAGGGGATCGAAGCGAATGAATGTGTTCATTCTTTGGACCGTAGACAGCCTATCAATATGAAGCAAGTGTTTTCTCTGAATCCTTGTTCCACGTTTTTTCCGTAGCGCAGAGATCGACCACTAGTATTGAATTCCTTCTTGGATTGCAATGCCGACCGCAGACGCGGAACGCTACGCTGAAAACAAACAACTTGAGACAAATGTCTACGGACGGTGCTGTTGCGAAGAAGAACAAGCAGCAACAGCAAACCACCTCCGCCCCCAACCACTTCACCCTTCACAGTGTCACTGAATTAAGGCTTACAAGGTCCCCGAAGCACATCGTGCTTCAGTCACCGCGTAAACATGCTACGTAAGCGCAGCCTTCTGCGTGGCAGATGCGGCACGAGGTCACTCCCTGTTGGGGGATTCAACTTTACACGATGGCTTGAGCCATTAGCGTGCTCACACCACCACGTAAACGCGCTGCACTGTGCTGACACAGCGCCTGTGCCGAACGTGCACTGGTATCAGATGTAGCAGCTGGAAGAAGAAGTAATGCATGAAACAAGAATTGCTACAGCCACCTGAATCAATGGCCAAATGTGCATGTGATCATTGTCATCATCCTGACGTGCTGGCGTAGCCGTCGGGGCACCATTCAGAGAAATCGATCGTGCCTCTGTCGATGCCGCTGTTGGTGATGCTGTTGTTGCAGCCGTCGGGGCAGCAGTCGTTGAACTGATCAGTCACTCTGTCAGTGCTGCAATGGGGGCTGCTGTGTGTGCAATCGTCGGGCAGCAGTCGGTGAACCCGTCATTGCCGATGTCGATGCCGCTGTTGCAGTTGATGATGCTGCTGGTCAGTCGTCGGGGCAGCAGTCGGTGAACTCGTCGGTGCCGCTGTCGATGCCGCTGTTGGCGATGGTGTTGGTGCAGCCGTCGGGCCAGCGGTCGGAGAACTTGTCGGTGACGCTGTCGATGCTGACATGGAGGCTGCTGTTGATGCAGCCGTCGGGGTTCGTCGGGGCAGCAATTGGTGACACGGTCGGTGCCGCTGTCGGTGCTGCAGTGGGCGTTGCTGTTGTTGCAGCCCAAGCTGCATCAATCGCCGAACTGGTCGGTGCCGCTGTCGGTGCCACCGTGGTGCTACTGTAAGCGCAGCCGTCGGGGCAGCAGTCGATGACCATGTCGATGACGTTGTCGATGCTGCAGTGGTGGGCGCTGCTGTTGGTGCAGCTGTCGGGGCAGCAATCGATGAACTGGTCGGTGCCATTGCCGGTCCCGCCAAGGTGGTGTTGTTGGTGCAGCCGTCAGGGCAGCAATCGGTGAGCATATCAATGACGCTGTCGGTGTTGCAGAGGGCACTGCTGTTGGTGCAACCGTTGGGGCCGCGGTCGGTGAGCTGATCGGTGCCGCTGTCGGTGACGCTGTCGATGCTACAGTGGGCACTGCTGTTGGTGCAGCCGTCGGGGCAGCAGTAGGTGAATTGGTCGGTGCTGCAACGGGCGTTGCTGTTGGCGTAGCCGTCGGGGCAGCATTTGGTGAACATGTCGGTGCCACTGTCGGTGCAGCAGTTGGCGCTGCCGTTGGTGCAGACCTCAGGGCAGCGCTCGGTGAACATGTGGGTGCCACGATGGTGCAACCGTCGGGGCAGCAATCGAAGAGCTTGTCGGTGCCGCTGATGGTGCAGGTGTCGATGTTGTTGTGAGCGCGCCTGGTGGAGCGGCTGTCTGCGCAGCAGGTTGTATTGTCTGTGCCTCAGTTGATGATGTTGTTGGTGCAGCCGTCGGGGCAAAAGTCGGTGAACTGGTCGGTGCCGCTGTAGGTGCTGCCATGGGCGCGCCTGTTGGCGCGCCGTCTGAGCAGCGGTCAATGAACTTGCCGGTGCCGCTGATGATGCTGCTGTGAGTGCTGCTGTCGGTGCAGCCGTCAGGGGAGCAGTCGGTGGAACGGTCGGTGCCGCTGTCGGGGATGCTGTTGGCGCAGCCGTCGGGGCAGCAGTTGGTGAACTCGTCGGTGTCTCTGTTGCTGATGTTGCAGGCGCAGCCTTCGGGGCAACTGTCGGTGAACTTGCTGGCGCTGCTCATGATGCTGCTGTGATTATGCAACCGTCGTGGCAGCAATCGCTGAGCCAGTCGATGCCGCTGTCGCTAATGCTGCGTCGGGGCAGCAGTTGTTGACATTGTCGGTGCCGCTGTTGCTGATGCTGTTAGCGCACCGTCGGGGCAGCTGGCGGTGAACTTGTCGTTGCCGCTGGTGATGCTGCTGTGAGTGCTGCTGTCGTCGGTGCAGCCGTGGGGGCAGCAGTCCGTGAGCCAGTCGATGCCGCTGTCGGTGATGTTGTCGGCGCAGCCGTCGGGGCAGCAGTTGGTGAGCTTGTCGGTACCGTTGTTGCTGATGCTATTAGCGCAATGTCGGGGCAGCTGCTGGTGAACTTGTCGGTGCCGCTGATGAAGCTGCTGGGAGCGCTGCTGTCAGTGAAGCAGTCGGGGCAGCAACCGGTGAGCGGGTAGGTGCCGCTGTCGGTGTTAGTTTCGGTGCAGCCGTCGGGGCAGCAGTCGGTGAACTTGTTGGTGCCACTGTTGCTGATGTTGTCGCAGCCGTCGGCGCAGATGTCGGTGAGCTTGTCGGCGCCGCAGATGATGCTGCTGTGAGTGCTGCTGTCAGTGCAGCCATCGGAGCAGCAGTCGGTGAGCTTGTCGGTGACTCGTCGGTAACGCTGTCGGTGCAGTCGTCGGAGTAGCAGTCAAGGTACACGACCACGAGCCTGTCGGCAAGGCTGCAGAAGCAACAGTCTGAAATGATGTAGGTCACGTGGTTGGCGTACCAATCGAAACCCTGGCGCAAGTGGGGGCGAGGGTGCATAAATTGGCGTCCATGTTGTCCCAAGAATCGGCCTGGATGGAGCCGCGTTTGCTGATACAACCATGGAAATACCGAAGCTTATAAATAGTGCCAGTGATGGAGTACTGCAACTGGTTCTGGAACATCATGTAGCAAATCACGTTGTCCTCGCCGGTGACCGTGCACCGGTTGATCTCGCCGCACCCCCTCGAGCTAAAAAGGCCTGAGCCCTCGAATATGGAGCGAGAGGGGGTCGAAGCGAATGAATGTGTTCATGACCGTAGACAGCCGTTCAATATGAAGCAAGTGTTTTCTCTGAATCTTATTCCATGTTTTTTTTCCGTAGCGCAGGGATCGACCACTAGTATTGAACCCCCTCTTGGATTGCAATGCCGACCGCAGACGCGGAACGCTACGTTGAAAACAAACAACTTGAGACAAATGTCTAAGGACGGTGTTCTTGCGAAGAAGAATCATCAGCAGCAGCAGCAGCAGCAGCAGAACCGATCAACTGCAACAAACACGCATAGGAGCAGGAGGAGGAGGAGGAGGAGGAGGAGGAGGAGGAGGAGGAGGAGCGTGGGAGGAAGAGGAGGAGGAGGAGGAGGAGGAGAGAGGAGGAGGAGGTAGGAGGAGGAGGAGGAGGAGGAGGAGAGGAGGAGGAGGGAGGAGGAGGAGGAGGAGGAGGAGGAGAGGAGGAGGAGGAGGAGGAGGAGGAGGAGGAGAGGAGGAGGAGGAGGAGGAGGAGGAGGAGGGAGGAGGAGGAGAGAAGGAGGAGGAGGAGGAGGAGGAGGAGCGCGGGAGGGAGGAAGGAGGAGGGAGGAGGCCACGCTCGATTCGCAGACGAGCGGGCCCCGGAGGGGGAAGCCGCCCACTGGCCCGACCTCGCGGCGCCCCTCCCGCGCGCGGAGCGGGGCCCCTCCTGGCACGGGCAGGAGCGGGAGTGGCGCGTGCAGATCCCCGAGGCCCGTTCGGCGCGGCTGCTGCGCCCGTCGCTCCCGTGCGCTTTCCCTGGCCCCTCCCCTCCTCTCCTCCCTCCTCCTCCTCCTCCTCCCCCTCCCCCTCCCCCTCCTCCTCCTCTGGGCACGCTCCACCTCCCCCTCCTCCTCCTTCTCCTCATCCTCCTCCCTCCCTCCTCCTCCTCCTCCTCCGCCTCCTCCGCCTCCTCCTTCTCCTCCTCCTCCTCATCCTCCTCATCCTCCTCATCCTCCTCCTCCGCCTCCGCCTCCGCCTCCGCCTCCTCCCTCATCCTCCTCCGCCTCCTCCTCCTCCTGGGGCTTCTCACCTTTGCACCTTTGCCGCATTCGGCCCCCTCCGAGCGGTGTAAGACTGTGGAGGACGATGAATGGAGAGGAAGCGTGTTGCCAATTAGTTTCCAGATGCCCAAGAAGTGTTTCAAACATGTCTTAAGCATGCACAAGACATGGCTGAATCATTTTAAGAAGTTGATTCGAACGTTCTGACACCATTTACAATTCAATGATATGTTAGGGTGTCCATCCTAACATGTGTAAGATGCCCCTCGTGCGCCGAGGGACGGCAAGGCCCCCTGGTACCACCCGTTCTGTGCCGCTCCGAAGCGTCCCGATCTCTGTTTCGTCGCCTCTCCGCGGTGTTCCAGCCTCGGGATGCGGTCTAGCAGCTGCGCCTCGCCGAGAGTGTTCTGGGGGTGCCCGAATCCGTCTCGATTTCGGGCTCGTCGCGTCTCAGCGGTTTTCCAGCCTCGGGATGCGTCCCAGTAGCCGCGACTCGCCGAGTGTGTTTTGGGGGTGGCCGAGAATCGTTTCGAACGGCCGCTGCAGACCAGAGGTATGGGCCGAAAACCTCATGACCCTTGAGGGTCCATCTCGAATCGTTCGATCTGGTCCGATGTCGATTTCAATTCGACATCGGTTTCGGGCGAGCCCATCCCATTAGATTCCGATATTCCGACGCTCAGATGCGGCCCGATGTTTGCATGGCGTTGCTGTTCATCCTGCCGCGGCCGATCTGGTTCGATTCCGACTGCGTGCCGGTGGCGCCCAGTCCGACACGCATTCCGATTCGATCCGATGTTCCAATTCGACATGTATTGAGTTTGTTTTCTCCCAACCCCCATCATCCCCCCCAGGCAACGCTACGTGTTGCTGGGGATTTGGGTCGCGAGGCTGTTGCTTCCTGTGTGTGTGTGCCTTTCTCCCTGCGGCGCGGCGCTGCCGGCGCAATTGGGGGCTGTCCAGGAACACGGGGCCGGAGGTGGGTCCCAGCCTGCGCCCGTCAACCCTACACTCAGGGCGCTGAAGAAGGAACCCTTTTCGGTGGGGACGGGCTCGGTGTTCCTTGATTGCTTTACAGTTTGGCTTGGGTTTTCTGAGGTTTTCGATGGGAAATCGACGCTCAACTTTTGGGATCAAGGGGCCTCGTTCCTTATGTAAGGTTCCTTAGGTCAACGCCCCGACTGTATGAACACGCGTGCCCGTTGCAACATTTCAATGGCAGATTTGCCTAGGGAGGTTGCCCGCGCCGCCTCGCTGCGTTCGCCTCTTCCGTTCGGCCTTTGACGGCCTACGACCTGCCCCTGTTCTTCCCTCCCCTTCCAGCACTCCTGCCCGCCCTGTTTTCCTCCCCCTTCCCCCTCCCCACTCCTGCGCTCCTCCCCCCTTCCCCCACCATGTTCCTCCCCACCCCTCGCGCACTCCTTCCTGGAATTGCGCGTTTCGTCCATCTCGTCACTCCGTGCGCGCAGCAGGTGGCCGCAGGTGGAGACGCCCGCAGGTGACTGAAGCATGGCAGGATTGCACTGCGTGCCGCGGGTGAGCCGTCCCTTGCCCAACAGCATGGAAGTGTGTCCCTTCGGCGGAGTGCTCCCTGGTGCGGGCCCACAGAAGTCCCCCGATCGCCGAATGCGATGTGGCGGCAGCGCCCTCGTCCTCGACGAGTGATTCGTGGTTCACTTATCCCTCCTCAGTGCCGGCTACGTGTGCGCGCTCGGAGGGCATCCTCGGTAGTTGGGCACACCCCCTATGGAGCAGCTGGAGGAGGAGAAGCAGGAGGGAGATGGCTGGGGACTGCTGGCGCAGTGCAGGCTCGGCGTTGTGACCACGTCCTCTCCATTCTGGGCTGCGCGCCTCAACGCCACCCCATGCATCTACGTCTGGCGTCCACCCTTCGTGTCTGCCTCTATCCCTCGCTGTCTCCGTGCATCTTCCTGAGCCCACCTCGCGATCTGTTTCTTTCCATTCCTTCCCTCCAGAGGCGATGGTTCGTCGAAGCTTCTTGCCCCCCCCCCCCACCCATCCACGCCCCACCACTAGCCTTACGTCGGGCATGTCCTTCGACAGGAGGAATATTCAAAAATAATAAAACATAGCCTGGGGGCGATTTTTCTGTTATGTTTGAATAGGTTTGAACAGTCGTTTGACAATTTTTATTTCTCATCCAAAATCCGCCTGTAAGAGGGCATGCCCGACGTAACACTCGCCTCTCTCCCCATCGCTTATCTTGAGTTTGTCTTCTTTTGTTTTGACTCTTTCCTCTCTCTTTCTCTTTCTATTCGTCTCGCCCTCTATGTTTCCCTTTCTGTCTCCCTGAACCGGTTCCTCTTATTAGTTTGCCAGCTCTCTCCCTGTCTCAATACGATACACATGCATGTGCATACATGTGTACCTATCTATCTCATGGCTTTCGGCGCATCCCGCCACCGTGCCTGGGTTGTGGGCGATAAGCCTATCGGATGTTCGGTGGGATCTCGTGGGAGGCCTCTCGTGGGCCTCTGGGAGGCAGTTTGGAGACCTCTTGTGGGCCTCTTGGGGGCCTCTCTTAGGCCCCTCTCGGGGCCTCCTGTGGGCGCCTTTTGGGGCCTCCTGGGGGCATCTTGGGGCGGCAGGCTTGTATTTTCGGTTCGTGTTCCCTCTCTTGGGCCCCTCTCGGGGCCTCCTGTGGGCGCCTTTTGGGGCCTCCTGGGGGCATCTTGGGGCGGAAGGCTTGTATTTTCGGTTCGTGTTCCCTCTCTTGGGCCCCTCTCGGGGCCGCCTTGGGGTCCTCCTGGGCCGTCTTGGGCGCCTCTTGGGCCGTCTTGGGGCCCTCTTGGAGGCCTCTTGGGCCGTTTGCGGGTGTTCTTGGGAGCTTCATGGGCCGTATTGGAGCGTCGGGAAGCCGAAAAGGCGAGAACGCACAAATGCGTCAAACACATAAGGAAACATCTTGGAGACCTCTTGCGCCATCGTGAGGCCATCTCGGGCGTCTTGGGCCGATCTTTGGGCGTCTCGGGGCCGTCTTGGAGGCCGCTCGGGGCCCTCTTGGCCCGTCTTGGGGCCCTCTTGGGCCCGAACAGTTCTCGCGCCACCACTTTTGGCAAAGCCCAGGGGGCCCGCGGGAAGTCCCAGGGGGCATGCGGGAAGCCCCAAGAGATTTCGGAATTTGGGGTCCGGGCCCCTTCGCGACTCTTAAGGAGTGGGAAGTGAGGATGGATTGGGCCCAGGACCTGAGGACACGCCCACTCCGTGCCCAGCGGCACGGTGGCGTATGTATGTATGTATGCATGCATGCATGCATGCATGCATGTATGTATGTATGTATGTATGTATGTAGGTATGTATGTATGTATGCATGCATGTATGCATGCATGTATGCAGGTGTGCTCCGAGCTTGCTCGTATACTTAGTGTGAACGTTTCTCGAAGAGATTGTGAAGAGGATGGAGACTAATATGTGGAGAGCATGTGTAGTAACACTGCGCGCTATGGTTCCCCAAGTTGTTCCGTCGGTGATCTAGGTCCCCCCCATCCCTGTCATCCACATCTTCGTGCGCGTCTCCACACATTGACCCTGCACCTGGCCCACGTGGCCGCGGAGTGCGTCCTCGATGGGCCCCATCTCTGTGCGCTGCACCTCACGGGCGCCTCCCCAGGTAATCGTGCTTGGCGAGACCCACCGGTTCCTGTGCACGTGGTCGCTCGAGGGCCAGATGGAGGCGGGACGGGGGCCCCGCATTGAGCAGCCGTGGGCGGGGCGGCACGCCTGCACTGGGGGAGGGCAGGGTGGCGTCGCCACTGAGGGGAGCACGACGCTGTCTTCTTTCCCCGGGCCGGCTCGGCCGTCGTGCGCGAGCTCGATCTTTCGGGGGCGGAAAAGAGGGGGGTAATGACTAGGGGGGGTGGATATCATGGCGGGGGCCATGATATTTCCCTAGATTTTGTGGCGCCTCTTCTTATTTCATTACGTCCCTGGCCTCCCCGCTGGGCCGCGCACATGCCGCCGGTCATGATTTGCACCCCCCCCTCTTGGACACGCCCCTCTTGGCCGCTCCCGAATCTTCGCCCTGCGCTCTGGGATCGTGAGGAGGGCAAGCGTCGACGAGGGGGCGCAGGAGGTCCTGCTCGCCTGCACGGTCTCTCCGACCTCTGTGGCGTGAGCGGTGCCCTTCGGCGTCGGCCCGAGGCCCTGCGAGCGGGGCGCGGGTGCCCCCAGGGCGCTCCTGCGCGGCAGCTGCAGCCACGGAGCCCGCGCAGCGTTCGTTCCTTGCGCGCTCTGGCGCTCTCCGTGCCCCGCTGGCGGAGCGGCAACGGCTCGTGGTCGGGAGCCTTGAGACGGGGGTCAATGCAAACGGGGGTCAGCCAGAGCGCCAGATCTTGCAAGATCCTGCAGGGCCAGGCTCCCATTGACCCGGGTTTGGGTGCAGGATCCTGCAGGATCTTGCAGGATCCTCCGCATTGACCCGGGTTTGGGTGCAGGCTTTTGCAGAATTCTGCAAGGCCTGGCTTACCCGGGTCTGGATTGACCCGGGTCAGAAGATCCCCGACGTGGGCGAGCTGACGTGAGAAGGGAGTTCGAGGATAATTGACTGATCCGCGAGGGAGTCGGAGGTTGACAGACCTCATACCTTGACACGTCGAGTGAGGAATCGGCCGCGCTCGGTTCGCGAAGGGGGCGTCGCGGCCGTCATGTTTGCGGGCCCAGGCCCGTCGGTTTCGGTCCTGGGCCGTTTTCACCAAAGGGAGGTTCTTTGAATGGAGGTTTGTTCACCGCCGAGGGAGCGAGCATGCTTTTAAACCAAAACAGAGGTTTGTCCAAAGACGCTCAGCACATTGCGAACGTGGATCTCAGGATTGGCCTCACGCCAGGACAGAACCGTGACCCAGCCAGAGGAGGCAATACCCAGGCTGTTCCTCTGAGCATGGGTCACGAGATCTGCTGTCAGTGACAGGTATGAGAGGTGTGAGGTCGTGTTCCTTCATTCCGCGTCTGTTGAGTTGGAATGGCGTTGCTTAGCACCAAGGTTGAAGAAGTGGTCTGAGCATTGGCCTGAGCATTGGCGTGGACCAGGGAAGCAGGTGAGGTGCATCATTCCATTCAGTGCTCGAGTTTTCCTGGGTGTTAGGCTGTGGCGGGCCCGCTTTCTGGGAAGGTTGAACAGCAGATGTGGGATCTGCGGATCCTCAACGATTGGCGGGCGTTGCCTGGTCCCAAGAATTCCTCGGGAGGCCAGAGCAGTAAACGATCGGAGCATTTCTGGCGCATCGACGGGTTGCGGGAGCTTGCAGTAAGAGGAGTTGCGGTGCGGAGGCATTCGAAGAAAGCGCATCGTTGCGGAAGGATCGTTTCCAAGGTTATTGCGTGTCCCGCCTTTTGGTACGAGTTCAGTTGTTCGCATGGGTAGTGGGGAATGATGCGCGAATCTGCGTGGCGGCAATGATTTCGCATCGTAGCGCGACAATGAGTACGGCTGGCCTCAGGGTGAAGAGCAACCCTATTCTGGGAGAGCACCCTTATGTTCTTCGTGTGTTGGCTGTCCACCTTGGATTGTGTGTTTCGTCTGGGGCATCGCCTATGCGGTCCTGGGTCTTCGGCGAAGGGCCTGGTGCTGTTTGACCCACGCTCTTGTGGCCGCGTTCTTCAGCGAACGAAGAACCGTATAACATAAACTTTTTCGCCGTCGGGGACACTTGCCCCTGGGCGGCTGGAAAGTTTATACCCCTACAGTGCCACCGTAAGGGTATAAACTTTCCAGCCGCCCAGGGGCAGGTGTCCCCGACGGCGAAAATGTTTATGTTATACCGTTCTTCGCCCATTAAGCTCTGGCTGTGCCAACCGCACTTCATCTCTTCCTCGCTCGTTCGCAGCTTCAGCGCAGAGACTCGAATCCCAATGGCAGAGGGTGGTCAGGAAAATCAGGTGGGATCGGAGAGAGGGCGGTAGCACCAGCGGCAGGCGGCTGCGGCCAGCAGGCTACAACAGATTGAACATCCTCCAGGCGGGGTGCTGCCCTGTAAAATCTGGCGTAGACTGAACGATTCCCCCCTCTGTCCTTCCAGCAATAATCTGGTACAAAAAAGGCTTGGTGAAGGCCTACCTCCTCCTCCTTGTCCTGCTCCTGCGTACTCGCCCAATGGCGAGGTTTTCAAAGACGGTGACCTCATGGGCCGATGGTGGGGCGCGCCGCTGAAGCCGGGCACCAGGACGGGCGGGGCAGGTAGCTCCAGGGAGATGTCGCGAGGAGGAGAAGGAGGAAGAGGAGGGGGGAAGAGGAGGTAGAGGAGGAGGTGGAGACCTTAGACCTTAGCGCCATTGGGAGCGAATGAGCCACACACATCGATTAAGCTGTGCACAATAAGACTTCAAAACGCTTCTGCGCAGCTTGAGATAAGGTTATGCGCTGCCAGAGTGGAGACTCAGGCAGTAAGGACTGCTCGGGCTTGGTGAGGAGCATGCCTCAGAGGAAGCACGCAGCCAGAGGCAGCCGCCCGAAAAGCACTACCTCCTTCTACCCTTGCGCCCCCGACCCCTCGACCGAGGCTCGTGACGGTGCTGAACTAAAGGCGCTCGACTGGCATCTCTAGCTGCTGGAGGAGGAGGAAGAGAAGGAGGAGGAGGAGGAGGAGGAGGAGGAGAGGAGGAGGAAAGGGAGGAGGAGGAAAGGGAGGAGAAGGAAGAGGAGGAGAAGGAGGAGGACGACGAGGGGGAGGAAGAGGAGGAGGAGGATGTGGAGCAGGAGGAGGAGGAGGAGGAGGAGGAGGAGGAGGAGGAGAAGGAGGAGGAGGAGGCGGAAGAGGAGGAGGAGGACGAAGAGGTGGAGGAGAAGGAGGAGGAGGAGGGGGGGTTGTGGTGGTGGCCTGGGAAGACGTCTGGTGGGGCCGAGGGCACAGCAGCTTTAGCGGCGCCTCCCGTGCAGGAATGGCTGGGGGACGGCTCACCACATGTCGCGCCGGCAGCGCCAGCAGCGTTACGGCGCAACTCGGTCCAAGAGACAACCAGGGGCGCTCCCTCCTAGGACGGCCCCAGCTCCTCCGCCTCGACCACAGGAAGGACCGCCTGCGACCCGTTCTACAGTCTGCGGAACGGGCATCCGCAGAATAAGAAGATGCTGCAGCTGGGCTCCCCCTCCTAGGACAAGATGGGAAGTGGGGCGCATCCAGGGGGGGCTGGCGGCCTCAAGTGCGAGGTCACCGGCAACGCGGAGTGGGGATGGGCAGTGTGAGAGCTTAGAACCCCCCAGCTCACCTCCACTGGGGCCCCGCCCGTCCGAACCAACCCTGCTGCCACCGCAGGGCGCAGCTGCGAGGCTTGGAGGGAAAGCCGGCTGAGGCCCTCCCTGGGGTGCGGCTCCCCCGTCCACTGCCCCAGCTCGGCTGGGGGGCCGCGGCCCAGCCTGTGGGTAGAGGCGAGGGGGCAGAGGAGGCATCGGCGCGATGGCCGCGAACTGCACTTGGTACCACGCCCGGGCAAGAGCAGGGGGACGCCCAGCCCAGAAGCGCTGCAGCTGCCTGTCAACTGCCGCCGCCAGCGCCACCGCTTCGGCAACTCCTTGTGCCCCCGGCCTGGCACCCAGCAGCGCCCGCGTGCTGGCCTCCTGGGATACCGGCTGCACCTGCGCCCGCGCCGCCCAGAAGGCATCCAGGCCCGCCCCTGTCCACGGGCAGCCGCTGCACGCGTGGAACCAGAGACTGCGCCGCCGCGCGCCGCACAGCGCGCACGACCGCACTGCTGCCCAGGACCAGCACCCGCCGGCATGCCCCAGGACAAGCAAGCCCGCCCGCTAACGGCTGATGGATTGCATCCCTTGCAGCACATCCTGGACGGCGGCTCCTGGCCTCATCCACAACCTGCTCCAGCTTCGCCATGGCCGCCCGCTTCAGACTCTGACTCAGGAGCGGCGCTGAACGAGTCTAGACGTGCTCCAGACAGAGTAGCAGCAGGAGCAGCGGGGGGACGGGGAAGGAGGGCGGCTCCGAGGACGGGTCTGGAGAAGGAGCAGGGGAGGACGCCCTCATCCAGCACCACATCACTCCGAGCACACCCTGAGAGGAGATCCACCGCCACCGGCCCAACAAGCAACCCGTATAGCCCCGCGTCCTCCTCCCACCTACCCCACCAGCCGGCAGGGGAGGTAGGAGGAGGTGCTGGACTCGCGACTGCCGGGACCGAGGGAGGGAGGGACGGGAGATCAGGAGAAGCCCTTGCCTGGCATCGCTCGGACGTGCGCATCCTTGAAGGGGAGGAGATCGAAGGTACCCATACCGCTACCCTTCGCCCGTTTTCTTTTCTGTTCGGCCTCCTGGGAGGCCCTCGTCGCCACCGCTGGATTCGCCTCGAAATTCTGGACAGAACGCACCCCGGGAGAGGTCGGGGGAGCAGCGGTATCGATGCCTTTGGGTCTCCCCAGTTTTCCATTGGGAATTTCCGTCGAGGAGCATGCTGGACCACCCCACGCAGAGTTAAAACGCACGGAGTCGAAACAAGGCACGGGGAATGTACGTCCGAGCGATGGCGATGTCTGGTCGGAAGGCGGCGGGAATCGGAGCGAGGCTACGACATTTGGAGCTCCAGGCCTCCTGGGATCGGCCGTGTGCGCAGGCAGAGGAGAGGGTGATGGGTTTGTTTTTCACCACCACCACCATGAGTTGGATGGGGGCCAGGAGGTGGATGGCGAGGAGCAGGAGGAGGAGGAGGAGGAAGAAGACGAGGGGGAGGGGGACCCCCTCCCCCCTCTCAACTTCTGGTGGTGGTGGTGGAAGAGAGGCCCAGCTGGGGGCAGGCAGGACAACAGGGGGGGCACGACGAGGAGCAGGCGGGCGATGCCGGGGCGGGGCAGAGGGCGGGGACCGCGAGGAGGCGGAGGGGGGGCGCAGGCGGAGACGGAGGAGCACGGCAGGAGTCGCTGGGAGGAGGGGCCAGGAGTGCAGGGAGGAGGAGCTGCAGGAGCAGGAGGGAGAGGTCGAGAGAGAGAGAGCGAGAGGGAGGGAGACAGAGAGAGAGAGAGAGAGACGGAGAAACACGTGCAGAGAAGGGAGAGGGGAGCAATTGAGAGAGAGAGAGAGATCGAGAGAGAGAGAGAGATAGAGAGAGAGAGGGAATAATAGATAAAACATATCGATAGGCAGTTGAACATCACCCCTGCGCGACCCCGATTGGGCGCATTCGTTTTGTGCACAGCGCTTGACACCAGCTCTGAGTAGCGCATACCTATGCAATGCAAGGCACTGGCTGCCCTTGCTTCGCATCGGTTGGCCTTGCCCGGTATGGCTCTGCATCCCTTGGCGTTGCTTGCCATTGCTTTGCATTTCTTTTTGCTCTGCGCCATATTCCTTGGCATTGCCTTGCTCGGCGTCGCTGTGCGTTGCCTGGCGCTTCCTGGCACTGCCTGGCGGTGCCGGCGACGCTCGCCCCACTCCGTGGAGGAGGCGGGGGGGCGCGAGGGGTGGAGGGCGCTCCCCCTCCTCCTCCTCCTCCTCCTTCTCCTCCTTCTCCTCCTTCTCGTCCTCGTCCTCCTCCTCCTCCTCCTCCTCCTCCTCCTCCTCCTCCCTCCTCCTCCTCCTCTTGCTCCTCCTCCCCTCGCGCCCCCCCGCCTGGGGGGGGGGGGGGGGGATGCGCAAGCCGTGGGGACGTGGGGCCCTCGCGGCGCGAGGCCCCCGGACGCGGGTGGACGCGGAGGGCGGGAGGGGGCGGGCAGGAAGCGCCTGTACGTCGCCAAGTCGAACTGGCCCGCGCCGCGCCCGGCCCGAGCTGAAGCGGCAGGAGGGGGGAGGGCTCGGAGGGGACATAGAGCAGGTGAGAGGGAGGAGGTGAATGGGATGAGGATGAGGATGAGGATGAGGATGAGGATGAGGATGAGGATGAGGATGAGGACGAGGACGAGGATGAGGATGAGGATGAGGATGAGGATGATGCTGATGCTGATGCTGATGCTGCTGCTGCTGCTGATGATGATGATGATGATGATGATGATGATGATGATGATGATGATGATGATGATGATGATGATGATGATAATGATGACGATGACGATGCTGATGCTGATGCTGATGATGATGCTGATGCTGATGCTGATGCTGCTGCTGCTGCTGCTGCTGCTGATGAGGAGGAGGAGGAGGAGGAGGAGGAGGAGGAGGAGGAGATGGAGGAGGAAGAGGAGGAGGAGGAGGAGGATGGAAAGAGCTCCTCCCCCCCAAGAGTATCATGTAAGATGCCGATAGCGGAGCTGTAGATCCGCGTCCGCGTATTGTCCTCCAGCCGGAGAAGTAAAAAGGTAGGACCCCCCTCGTTCTCTCTCGGGGGGCGGGGCGGTAGCAGCGCCCCTGGTGCCGAAAAATATTGAGAGTCTTCCCCCGCGGCCTTCGGCGGCTGCGGAGCTGCAGCGCTGCAGCTGTTGCTGCCCGCTGTGATCGGCGCGATGTCGGAAAGAGCGCGTTCTGTGGTCGCTTGGAGGCCTTGGGGGGGGGGGGGGGTCGGGAGGGAGGGGGTTTGGGGGGGAGGGGAGTCCCCCTGGTTTTGATCGACGGCGCCGAGTGTTAGGGGGGTTGGGGCCCACCCCCGGGTTCGAAACGCGCCGCCGGATGTTCCCAAGCCGAGCGCCCGTGAAACGCGCTCTTTCTGATGTAGGGACATGTGGCTCTGGCGATCTTGGGCCGCTCAAGTATGTCTTATGCTTGGTTCCGTCTTTTCGGGCTGATTCAATCATACTTCAATCATGCAGTTCTTAGCCGTGTAGCGCACGGCGGGACAAGGACGCCAAGCTGACAAAGAGCAAGTCTAGCTCTGGTCTGGTTGGGCTGGTTGGGCTGTTGAGCTTCGTCTTGCAGCCTTAGCTTAGGATCCAGGCGATAGTGGTTTGGGGGACGTCTGGCGAGGCTGCGCCAACCACCACGACCGCAATGCATGTTCGTTGTTCATTGCAGTTATAGTTTTGTTTTGCAGTTTTTTTTACATTGCAGTTTTTTGCATCTGGTCTGGTTGGCCTGGTCGGTCTGGTTTGAGCTTCGTCCTGCAGCCTTAGCTCAGGACCCAGGCGAGAGTGGTTTAGGGGAGGTCCGGCGAGGCAGCGCCCACAACTACCACGACCGAAATGCAATTATTTGTCTGGCATGTCAGTTTTGCTTTGCTTTGCAGTTTTGTTTGCATTGCAGTTTTTTGATGCATCTGGTCTGGTTGGTCTGGTTGGTCTAGTTTGAGCTTCGTCTTGCAGCCATAGCTCAGGATCCGCGCGAGAGTGATTTAGAGGAGGTCTGTGGAGGCAGCGCCAACCACGACGACGACCGAAATGCAGTTGTTTTTGCATTGCATTTGTTGCATCGCAGTTGATTTTGCATTGCAGTTTTTTTTGCATCTGGTCTGGCTGGTCTGGTTGGTCTGGTTTGAGCTTCGGTTTGCAGCCTTGGCTTAAAATCCGGGCGAGAGTGGTTCAGGGGAGGTCCGGCGAGGCTGCGCTAACCACCAGGACGACGACCGAAATGCATTGTTGTTGTTCATTTCAGCTTTTGTTTTGCTTTGCTGTTTTTGTGCATCGCAGTTTTTGATTGCATCTGGCCTGGTTGGTCTGGTTGGTCTGGTTTGAGCTTCGTCTTGCAGCCTCAGCTTAGGATCCGGGCGAGTGGTTCAGGGGAGAGCCGGCGACGCAGCGCCAGCCACGTCACCACGACGACGACCGACATGCAGTTTGTTTTGCATTGCAGCTGTTCTCGCATTTCGTTTTTTTGTGCTTTGCGGCTTTGCCGTTCTAGCTTCGGCTTTGGATGCCGCGTGCGAGTGGAGAGCTGTTTGGGGAGGTCCAGGGGAGTTCTGGAGCCCACGGCGCCGACTACCATGGTCAGAATTACAGTTCGTGTTTGCATTGCAGTTTTTTCCCAACCATCCTGTGATGTTGGGTCCTCGTTTTGAAGAGACAGCGCCCCGCGTCCCACCCACTCACTCAATCACTCCTCCTCCTCCTCCTCCTCCTCCTCCTCCTCCTCCTCCTCCTCCTCCATCTCCTCCTCCTCCTCCCTCCTCCTCCTTCTCCTCGTCCTCCTCCTCCTCCTCCTCCTCCTCCTCCTCCTCCTCCTCCTCCTCCTCCTCCTCCCCCTCCTCCCTCCCCCCCTTCCTCCCTCCGCCACGCGTTTCCCCCACCCAGTACAGCGTTTCGAGGCCCCATAGGGAGCTCCACCTAAGACCTCAGGGGGGGGGTACCATATGCGTCCACCACACCCAGTACGGCGCTTCGTGGCCCCATAGGGAGCTCCACCTAAGGCCGCGGGGGGGGGGACCACATGCGTCCGCCACACCCAGTACGGCGCTTCGTGGCTCCATAGGAGGCTCCACTTACGGCCCCAGGCTGGGGGGGGTTCCACAACATGCGTCGCCACACACAGTACGGCGCTTCGTGGCCCCATAGGGAGCTCCACCTAAGGCCCCAGAGGGGGGGGCGGGGGGCGTCCGCCACACCCAGTGCGGCGGTTCGTGGCTTCATAGGGAGTTCCACCCAAGGTTCCAGGGGGGGGTACCACGTGCGCCCGCCATACCCAGTACGGCGTTCCGTGGGGCCCCATAGGGAGCTCCACTTACGGCCCCAGGCTGGGGGGGTACCACATGCGTCCGCCACACCCAGTACGGCGCTTCGTGGCCCCATAGGGAGCTCCACCTGAGGCCCCAGTGGGGAGTGGCCACATGCGTCCGCCACATCCAATTTGGCAGTTTCACCCACCCAGTACAGCGCTTCGTGGCCCCATAAGGAGCTCCACCGAACCCCCCAGTGGGACCGCCCGCATGCGTCCCGCACAGCCAATTTGGCATTTCCACCCACTCACTACAGCGTTTCGTGGCCCCATAGGGAGCTCCACCTAAGCCCCCAGAGGAACCGTCCGCATGCGTCCCAGAAGCCCAAGTTGGCATTTTCACCCACCCAGTACAGCGCTTCGTGGTCCCATAAGGAGCTCCACCGAACCGTCCGCATGCGTCCCACATACACAATTTTCCATTTTCACCCACCCAGTACAACGTTTCGTGGCCCCATAAGGAGCTCCACCGACGGCCCCAGTGCTACCGCCCGCATGCGTTCCCCCCCACCCAGTGCAGCGCTTCGTGGCCCCATAGGGAGCTTCACCGAAGAAGAGATTCACAATTGCGGTAGCCTCTACTGCGTATGGTGGGGTCCTTCGCCAGGATAGTTTGCATTGCAGGTTTTTTGCATCATTGCAGCTTTGCCGTTCTAGCTGCAGCTTTGGATTCCGCGTGCGAGGCGAGACCGGTTTGGGGAGGTTGGGGAGGGTCTGAAGCCCACGGCGCCGACGACCATGATCAGAATTACAGCCATCTCCGAGGTCATCGATGAAAGAAGGGAAGGTACTGTTCTCCGCCCCAACGTCAGGGCATCCACCATGGTTTCTTGGGCCCCTCTTGGGCCCCGCTTGGGGCTCTCTTGGAACCGTCTTGATGCCCTCTTCGGCCCCTCTTGGGACCTTTTTTCGGTCATCTTGGGGTCGACTTGATCCCACAAAAGCCCATCGGAAGCGAAACGGCGAGAAAGCAAACATCATTGATTTGAATTCATCGCTTCGCTCATTCCGCTAGCCCGTATTGTGCCATCGCTGGCGTTTCGGCCGTTTGGGCGCCTCTTTGGGGCCACCTGGGGGCCTCTTGGGAGCCTTTTGGGGTTCTCTGACGGCCTTCTGGGAACCTCTTGGAGCCTCTTGGGGGTCTCTTGGGGGCTTCTTGGAACATCCCGGGCTCCTCTTGAGGCTGAGGGCTCGAAATGTCTGTTCGGGTTCCCCGTCTGGGCCCCCTCTTGGAGCTATCCTGGGGCCATCTTGGGCCGTCTTCGAGGCCTCTTGGGCCGTCTTGAGGCACTTTTGGGCCGTCTTGGAGACCTCTTGGAGGCCTCTTCGGCCTTCTTGGAGTAATATTTAGGTTATCTTTGGCCGTCTTTCAGCGTCGGGAAGCCGAACAGGCGTTTTTTGAGAACGCCACAATCTTTCAAAAACCAAAAGGACATCGATGAATTGTGCCTCCTGGGGCCCTCTTGAGACATCTTCTTGGAGACCTCTTTGGGCGTCTTGGAGGCGTCTGCGGCCGTCTGGAGACTATCTTGGGCGTCTTGGACCGATCGGTCGGCGACTCGGAGCCCTGTTGGACCATCTTATGAGGCCTCTTGAGGCCGTCTTGGAGCGCTTTGGGGATCCGGAAAACTGCCCTGGGGAGTTCTGGCATCCTTGGGCGGATTTTGCCAGAACCTTGCCAGGGTATGTATCGTCCCGGGACTTCCAGGGGCCGGCCCGTTCGCGCGAATTAGAAAGATCGTTTACCGGTTACCGGAGATTTTAGCACGCCTCTGACCTGCTGGGCCGGCGAAGTCAGGTTCTGGAAAGGTAACGGCCTCTTGGAGGCCTCTCGTGGCGCTCTTGAAGCCATGTTGGAGCCATCTTGGGCCCCTCTTGGGCCTCTCTTGGGCCATCTTGGAAGCCATCGACCAACAAAGAAGGCGGCGTCAATTTGGATCCCCCCGTCGGAACTCTCAAAGCCTCTTGGAGCTCTCTTGGGACGCTCTTGGGGCGGTCTTGGGCGCTCTTGGGGCCGTCTCGGGCCTCTCTTGGACCCTTCTTGGGGATCCCTGGGTCTATACCAGAGCCATCTGGAGGCGTCAGAAGCCCATGGGTTTTGGGCGGTTGTTGGCCTCTCCAGGGCGTCCTTGGGAGGCCTTTTGGCCACTTAGAGCCGTCTTGGAGGGATCGTGAAGCCTCTTGGAGGTCAGTTGCAAGCTATATTTCACCATGTGGGGCTATCTACAGCGATCTTAGAGGCCATTTGTTGCTCGTTGGGGCCTTCTTGGAGCCATCTTGGAAATATTTGGAAGCCTCTTGGGGGTTATCTTGGAGCCTCTTGGGCGCCTCTGGGGGACCTCTTGGGAACCTAAGGGGCCCTCTTGGGACCGTAGAAGAAAGAGAAGGAGTAACAAGTAGAGAGCCCAGAGAAGGAGAACACGTAGAGAGCCGCGTCAGCTGCCATAGCAGTTCTTCTGCCCCTAAGCAGAGTATGGCGCTGGGGCATGAGAACTTGTCGCTTTAACCAGCTTGGAATTCTTGGACTCGCACTTGGATGCAGGAGGAGGAGAAGGAGGAAAAGAGACTTCCCCGAATAAACACATTAGACGCACATGTTGGAATGTGTACCCATGTGATTATTGTCCTTTGGTCGATAGTTCCTGCCAGGGTACGTGTCGAAGCTTCAATGACCAATGCTCGACAGACTGAGTCTGGAGGCTGGTATGGTGAGGAGGAGCGAACCCAGAGGCTAAGGAGGAGAAGGTGGGGGGAGTCTAGATCTGGAGGGAGGGCGCTCATCAGGGAGGAGGGGGGGTGCGGACGCTGTGGCGAACGAAGGGAATGGCCGGGGGCTGCTGTAGGTGCTATGGCCCAGGGTGTTCCCAGCGTTGGCCCCCTGGAGGCTTCTCGTTGCCACGGCTGGGTTCGCCCCGAGGACGAGGGAGGCTCAATCCCAGCAGTCCCAGCAGTCCGGGAACCTATTCCGAGCGGAGCCGGGCTTGGCAGGAGCGACTGTGCTCTCTCACATGGGCTTTCGGGCGGGTGGCACTTGGGGGGGACCTCAATGTGGGGCTGAAGGAAAGGGCCCTGAAGGGGCCCACTAGTGCCTCTTATGGGCCCCTGCCCCCCCTTCTTCGGGGGTTGCTAAAATGCCCCTGGCCCAAGGTGCCCTCAGCTTTCCGTTCGTTTTTGGAGACTCTGGGGCCCCCTGGGCCTTGGGCCCTCCAGGGCTCCTTTTTTGGCCCCTGCTGACTCCAAGAGGGTAATTACCAAAGGGCCCTTTTCTTCACCCCCTTTTTAGGCCACCCCGCAGAGGGAGGAGGAGGAGGTGGAGGAGGAGAAGGAGGAAAAGGAGGAAGAAGGAGGAGGACGAGGACGAGGACGAGGACGAGAAGCAGCAGGAGGAGGATCAGGAGGAGGAGGAGCGGGAAGAGCAGGAGGACGTCGGCCTCCTGCTCCTCATGTTCCTCCTCCTCCTCCTGCTCCTCCTCCTCCCCCTCCTCCTCCTCCTCCTCCTCACCTCCTCCTCCTCCTCTCCTCCTCCTCCTCCTCCTCCTCCTCCTCCTCCCCCCATCCGCCCTCTCCTCCTCCCCCTCCCTCTCCTCCCTCTCTCCTCCTACAGGTCACGAGCTGATTAAGAAAACTTCTCCCCAAGAAGCTGGGCCAGCGTTTCCTGGCCAACGTGCCGGAAGCATGGCCCAGCTTCTTGAGCGCGTTCGCCCTGCAGCGATAACATCAGAACCTTGCCCAGGCTTGTCTCAATAAACTTCTTGGATGTGTTTCATGACCACATTTCGGGCCGTTATTGTCCACCTCACTCCCCCTCCCCGCTATACTCCTCCTCTCTGTCCCCTGATCGCACACGTGTCTTCACTGTGCCACCCTCCCCCGCTCCATTCTCCGTATTTCTTTCCGCTCCCTCCCTGCGAAGGTCTCGAGACCACCCGTTCCACGGAGAAATTAAGAACCTCGGGTTTTGGAACGACGTGCTGTCTTGGAAGGACGCGCCGTGCCTGGATTGTATCTGCCGACGTCGAAGGGGGTTTGGTCTGTGTGCTTAGAAGGAGGACGAGCACCCTGCAAGTTCGGCGGTGATCCAGGGGGCAGGCTCCCTGGGGAACGAGGGGAGGGGCATTTGCCATCCATGATCGTCCTTCTTCTCTCCGTCTTCTTCATCCACGCTCCTTGTCGTCCCCTCCTCCTCACTGCTGCTCCTCACCTGCATCCTTGTCCTGATGCTTTCCATCCCTCTCACCCCTTTCTGCTCCGCATCCTCGTTTGTCTCATCATACCTCCCCCTTGTTTCTTTCTTTTCCTTTTGTTTCCTCCCCCCAAGGCCGTCTTGGTGCTCACGACAAGCCCTCGCAGCGATCCAATGTGAAAGAGCAAAACCATGTATTGTGAGGGAGGTCCTGGGCTCTGGGCCCTGGGCCAGGACCTCGCTCGTACATGGGCCCCCCTCTGGCCCTGACGGCTTCCCCGGGAGGCCCCCCGGGACCGCCCGAAAGCGCTCCAGGATAACTCAGGATGCTTTGCAGACGGCTCAAGAGATCTCCAGGTCACCACCGAGACAGCCCAAGATTGCTCCGAGACGGCTTCAGACCGCCTCCCGGTGGCTTATGAGGCCCCCAAGAGGGCTTCAGAGGGCCCCCAGGGGCCCACCTGGAGGCCCTCCAGGGCCAAACATAATTGGACAACATGTGGGGAATCCGTGATTTGTGACTTTTTCTTTTTCGCCTCCGATGAATTTCCGAGGCTCCAACCTCGCCCCAAAGTCACACCAATGATGCACCTAAAGCCGCCCCGAGACGCCCCAAGAGGGCCCACTAGGCCCCGATGACGCTCCCAGAGGCTCCCACGAGGTCCCCGAAGACGCCTCCAAGATGCACCAAAGAGC